CTCAGGGTGTGGTACAGCAGCTTCCCTCCCTCCACAGCTGGCTTTGCCAGGCAGTTAGTCCCTCGGACCTCCGGTACCAGGAACCTGTCCACAGCCTGAGAGATCCTGCAGCAGTATCTGTCTTCAAAGCTGCTTGGCCCCTGTCCAGCCCACAGAATCTCTGCATCAGAGGCAGTTTGACTGGCAAGAGGATCTGGCTCACTGGCCCCAGGGGTTTATTCCAATCTTGGGGATGGAGCCTGTATGCCGGAAGCTCCCACTGCTGCCGATGGGAGCTCTGGGTCTGTGAAGAGCACAGGGTGGGGCCCTGGCAGCCAGGCACTCCCGACTCCATTGCTGCATTACAGTGGGATGCAATGACTACTTTTTCCACGCAACCTGCCATTAGTCAGCGGAACTCACTGCCACATGATAGCATCAAGGCTAAGAGCTTAGAGGGATTCCAGAACGGCTCAGACACGGATGTGGGTAATGAAAATCTCCAGGGGGGAGGAATGAAAGGTGCTGGAAAGGCTGTAAACCTCTCTCCTTAGGGGCATAAACTAACCTCTGGCTCCCTGGGATCAGCCAGGGACTTTCCCTGGGGGGCAGATTATCCCAGCGCTGCAGGGTTCTTGCTCCTTGCTCTGAAGCATCTGGTATTGGCCACTGTTGAAGACAGGATGCTGGGCTAGATGGGCCCATTGATCCAATCTAGGCTAGAGAGTCCTGTGTTTCCTAGTGATCCCCACACCGCCCACCTCCTCCACTGCCGGGATCCCTTCCCAACCTGTGCTGCCCAGGCCACCCCTCCATTAGCATCTCTGCACTAGCTCACGAGGCCCAGGAGCAGCGTGCGAGAGGTAGGCAGGCTGGGCGCACGCACGCGTGCAAGCTCACACACAGACTCACGCAGGCACATGCAGGCAGGGCCAGATTTAGGGGCAGGCGACTGCCTGGTTTCTGGGCTCGGGGGGCGCCGGGCTCGGGGGGCTGGTTTTGTGGCTAGCAACAAAAGGGAAAATAGAACGTCTGAAGTAAAGCGTTTCCGGTATTCCGTACGTGGCTTCATTTTTCACTAACCTAGAACGTTGTCAGCCCTGCCCTGTACATTTCAGTTATTCTTAAAAGGTTTCCATAAGCTTAGAGGAAACTAATTTTTTGTTATTTGCTTATGTCCGGCCCGAATAAATACAGCTGTACAGATCCCAGTGCGCAAATTGGTCAGCTTATATGACAGGGATAAATCACACAGGCAAATCGTGCCTCAGCGTCGTGACATGGGCTACAAACGCAATCAGAAAGAAGGTATTCAAAGGTTTAACAAATGGGAGGGGGCATCAAAGACGCTCCTCACCTGGGGCGCCATGTGATCTAGGGCCAGCCCTGCACGCACACGCAATGACACATGCATGGACACACACACACACATCCCAAGTCCCAAGGGCCCAGCAGTGCCCACTTGCCAGGACAGGGAGCGTCAGCCTTACGCCTGCCCCCTGCAGTTGCCTGATACTCAGCCCAGTTGCACTATTGCTCCCCAGCTGGGCTGCGGGCATGTGCCCGGCTTTCTGGCTACCAGGGCTGCTAAGCCGGCAGCCAAGACTTCCTGCCCCTTCCCTCTCCCTAGGTCCCTCCCCTGGACCTGAGCAGCTGCAATACAGCCCTTCTCCAGGAGGGGACAGCATTGCTCAGGAGCCGGGGGGGCGGGGAGACAAGGCATGTTGGGGGGCAGCATTGGGGGGAAGGAGACAGGCGCAGAGGGGTGAGGAGATGCAGGGGAGGGAAAAGACTGAGGCTGGGGGGAATAAGTGGGGAGTCAGGCCAGGGAAGTGGGGGAGATGGGGCTCTTTGTGGGGCTGCAGCAGATGGGCTGGGGAGGGGGCTCTGCTCAGGTGTGGGGCTGGGAAGGGAGAGCAGATGCCAACAGAAGAGTTCAGGGGACGCTTGACAGCAGCAAATACCCTTTGGGACAAAGGAGCTGGGGGGGCGCCTTCGGCTGGGGAGTCAGATGCCACGGGGATGGGCAGCACATCCAAGCCCTAGGTAGGCAGACAGGCATGTGTAGGGATAAGATAAGATTCCTCACCCCCAGTGTAGAGATGAACCCCAAACCCAGGATTTAACCCCTCTAACTTTGGGGGGGATTCCGAGTTCCCAACTCCTCCTCTCCACCCCCAGTTCCAAATACCTCCCCCCCCACGGCAAGAGCTTTGGAACCCAGCGCTGGACTTTGCTCTCTGCCCTCCAGCAGCGACTGCCCCACAGCACTCCAGGCATCAGAGCCAGGAGTCAGGTGCTGGCAGGTACGGAAGCCTTTGCCATGTTGTGCAAGCGGCTCTGGGCCCATCTGATCCGCCCTCCTCAGTGGTTTTGTTACTTATTCCCCCTTTCTCCTTTGAGGCAGGAATTGTTTGATCTTGTTTGACAAGGAAGGAATTTCTGCTAGGAATGCAGTCTGGCAGCAAGGAGCCCAGCTGAGTCACCCAGGGCCTCCGGGCTCCTTCCCTGGAGGTTGGAAAAATGGCCCAGGATTCCTACCTGCTTGAGATTATTCTGCTTTGGCCTCCACCCCATAGCCACTGATCTGTTTAACCCCAGGTGGGGAATAAAGAGAAGTGAATTCAGCCTGGGAAATACCATCCACATTTTACAGGTGGAAAACTGAGGCATGAAGTAGTTAAGGACCTCACCCAGGAAGTCTATGGCAGAACAGGGAATCAAACCTGGTCCCCAGAGCCCTGGCCCAGGGCTGTATCACAAGGCCATCCATTCTCCCCAGCCTGTTTGATGACTGAGACGGTGGGCCGGGCCCACTGGACCAAAAGGCCCCGCACTCCTCAGGTGTGGGAGGGGCCACAGGACCCAGATGACAACTGAGCATGGGGAACAAAAAAAAAGTAGAGGGATGGGAGTGCAGGGAATAGGGTCAAAATGAGGGACCCAGAAGGGTACACCGAGCAGAGTGCCCGCTGCCCTGAAAGGGAGTCTGTGGACGCCACCCAGAGGAACTGTGCGTGGACACATGCCTGGTAGAAGCCCCCAGTCACAGAGCTCTCCCCGACCCCATCCAGCTTTCTCCTGCTGGCTTGACGGACAGGGCCTCAGGAGACAGAAATCCCCTCTCTAGCCCCAGAACAAGCACAGCATGGGGATGGCCGGGGCAAGCTTTCCTCATCCCACCTGGCTCATTGCATGCAGACCACCCACCGGCCGCCGGCTCGGGCATTTGCTGTTCGCACACTAGAGCCAAGTGGCTCCATATCTCACTCCCCTGAGCTGGAAGCGCTGGTCCTAGGCGGCTCGGCGTCAGACTGGCTGGCTCGGTGCCCCCCTTGATGCAGCTCCAGACAGCTGGGAGACACCCCCGCGTTTTCAGCCCGGCACACGCAGGTGTGAGGGTTTATGCAACAAACGCACCACTGGCCACCTAGACGGATCCAGCCGACACCAGCTTTTGCTTGATAAGGGGCAGCAGCAGCTGCTTCTCAGCCAGCGTGGCTGCAGGATCAGTGGGGGCCAGAGGCACAGGGCTCTGAGTTTGTGGGGGCTGAACTCCAACGGTCCCTTTGAACCCTACATTCCATGCTCTGCGCTGTCTCCTTCCGGCATTCTCTGGTGGCAGCTGGGTCTACTGCAGCTGCTCCAGCCCTACCAGACCTTCAGTGGCAGCAGGTGGTGTTGCACCCCACAGTACATCAGTGGGGGCACTGGGTGGGCTTAGCCCCCAATGATCCTACAATCCACACTCCTCTGCCCAGTTTCCCATTTTAACCGACCAGAGACGCCCTTTCCACGCCGTGCACTGTGTATCTGGAGGGGTAGGTCGTTCTGCCTTGAGAGCCTTCCAGGTAAAGAGGCCTTTTCCAGAATGGCAGGCTGGGAATCTAACTCCGCCCCTGAATCCCAGGCTCCACCCACAGCTAGATGTGGCTCCTGAGTGACATAGTTACACCAATATAGGTCTGCAGTGTAAACCTGGCCTAAGTCCCAGATTTCAGGGGTAGTTAGTTACCTACATATCCTTGCATAATACAGGTTTCAGAGGAACAGCCGTGTTAGTCTGTATTCGCAAAAAGAAAAGGAGTACTTGTGGCACCTTAGAGACTAACCAATTTATTTGAGCATAAGCTTTCGTGAGCTACAGCTCACTTCATCGGATGCATCGGATGTAGCTCACGAAAGCTTATGCTCAAATAAATTGGTGAGTCTCTAAGGTGCCACAAGTCCTCCTTTTCTTTTTGCTAAATATCCTTGAGGATCTGGGCCTAATTGACTTGCCCAAGGTCACAGAGGCAGCGGTGGGAGCTGAAACCAGGTCTCGCTACAGGCAGGCTGGTACACTAACCCCTCCGCCACCCATCTTCTCCACTGAGCGATCTACGTCGGCAGGCCTGGCCTCTTGCCAACCGCTCTCTGGCTTCCCAATGGGAACCTGTCCCCAGGTCATGCTGTAGCAAGTCCACTCGCTGCCTCCCCACTAAGAAACCCACAGCCGGTCACGGTCCCAGTGCCGCCCGCCCCAGTGCTCCCCCTGGGGCACGGCCCGTCTGGCGTCTTCCAGCAGGAGCGAAGCTTGGCGCGGTGCACAAGCCAAGCTGAGAACCACCTGACACCCTGCTTCCACCCACCCTGGCTCTGGAGCGACACGCTGGACAGGTTTTTCTTTGCACTTCTCGTCAGCAGCTCCATGCCCAATGACTGATCCCCGCCGGGGAGGGGCATCCCTCCAGTGCCCACTGTCCCAGCAGGTCCTGGCTGGCGGTGGATGTCACGTCAAGCTGGGGACTGCGCAATACAATGTAGCCAGTGTCCGGAAAAATCCGGGTGCTGGGAGGATGGACAGGCTGTATGTGTGGGTTGCCATGGCTGCTTCTGGGTGGGTTAGGGGGCGGAGGGTTGTTTATATGCCCCCGCTTGTCCCCACGCCTGCACAGGAGGGTGTTTATTTGGGAGTGGGACAGATGATACACGCCCACCAGTTGTGTGGACCTCAGCCGATCAGATTTCTTTAGTCCTGGCCACTCCCTGCATCAGCCGAGCACACACACTGGTCGGGTCATAGTGTGCACTGATCCGGACTCTGACTAGTGCGGCTTGGGGTAAGTGCAGCCTTGTCAGGTCTGTCTCAGTCTCTGAGAAATCCAGCTCTTCTGCTGGCCAGCTGAGCTGCAAACAAGGAGAGTCAGGACCCCTGGGTTCCTTTCCTGGGTCTAGGAGGGGAGTAAAGTCTACTGGTTAGAGCGGGGGTCAGGGCGCGGGGGTCAGGACGCCTGGGTTCCCTTCCCAGCTCTGGAAGGAGAGTGTGTTCCAGTGGTGAGGGCAGGGGACTGGGAGTCTGGACTCCTGCGATCTAGTCTCAGCTCCCCCCGACTCCCACCATGGACATGGCCCACTCACTTTCCCCCTCCGCGCCCCAGTTCCCCCATCTGTGGAATGAGGATGACGCTAATTAACAGGGGTGGATCTGCAGCTGGTGATCAAGAGCATGTCCAGTACCTAGATCTCAATGGGGATTAGCCGGACAGACACATACATCTGCCAGCTTCCCACAGCGTGGATTAATTAATTAATAATCATTCTTAGCATTTCTATGGGGAGCTTAACTTCAATTAGTGCTTGAGATGCTGTGGGGAGATGGAGCCCCACTAACTGGCCAGGCTGCCTTACACTTTAGGGGGACTCCTGCTTTTTATGGCTGCCACCCCCAGGGCTTCAGACCAGTAAGGGATCCCTGAGTCCCAATGGGGCTGCAGGGAACAGGGAGAGGAGTACAAAGTGGGGGAGGAGCACTGGGCACGGAGAAGACGGAGCGCATGCCGCCCCCCCAATGCCGCAATCCCCAGGGCAACACTCCCCCGTGCGTGCTGTGAAAGGCTCTCCCATGCAAGGCTCCCCAGCGTATACCCCCCACCCCGTGCACCAGACTCCCTGCAGACCAGATTAGAATCTCAGCTCCCTGCTCGCAATAGACTAACTGAGTTAGTTCTGCCTGGCAGCTCGCTGGGCCGTGGTCACGAGCAAGTGCAGCCGGGAGGTGGAGGCGGGAGCCAGAGAAGGAGGCCATCTCCGGGCCCGTGGCAAAGGCTCCAGCTCCGTGCTAAAGGCCAGGCTGGGAGAGGCAACCTGCAAAAGGCTCCGGGCATCTCGAACTGTCTTTCCTCCCAAGATGTTTGAGTTCAAAAGCAACCCAGAGCCTCGAAACAGCCCAAATAAAAGCCCCCCGTGGCGCTCGCTTCCCCTTGGCGCCTGTCCAAGGCATAGGCTCTTCCAGCCTGTGTCACGGCCTGCGCCCTCCCATCCCCCAGCCTGGTGCGGTTTGAGAAAGAGAGGCTGGGGACGGGGACTGGAAAGCAAGAGGTTTGGGGAGGCTGTTGTGGAAAGTCTCTGGCTGCACTGACGAGCTGGTTGGATCTCCAGACAAAGCAGTCTCGCCTCACTCCAGACATGAGGCCTGGATTGCTAGCACCGGCCTCGTTAATTTCGCCCCTTTGGAGGTTGCTTGTAAAGCCCCATCTGCAATGAACAAATTCCCTTCAAAGGCCGCCAGGGCCCTCCGCCGCTCAAAGCGGGAGCTGTGATGAATTGGGCGAAAGCACCAACGCTCTGTGGCTGCAGCTGTCACCACTCGCACCCTCCGCAGGTCAGCACAGAGAAGGACCCAGAACACACACTCATCGGTTAGGCTGGCAAAACTGGCTTCAGCAATGGATCCACGCTTTTTAGCTCAGGGAAAATCTCACTGCAGGGAAGTGTGTCTAAGGGCAGATGTGTTCCAGCTGCAGACATGTGCAGGCCAGGTCCCCAGCTGTTGTCAATGAGCAGTGCTATGCTGAAATCAATGGAGCTCCAGACAATGACCGAGCTGTAGGACTCTGAACATTGGTGTGCCGGGCGCTGCCCAGACACAGAGCGACCAAGATCGGGGCCCCGTCGTGCCAGGCGCTGCCCAGACACAGGGCGACCGAGATCGGGGCCCCGTCGTGCCGGGCGCTGCCCAGACACAGGGCGACCGAGATCGGGGCCCCGTCGTGCCGGGCGCTGCCCAGACACAGGGCGACCGAGATCGGGGCCCCGTCGTGCCGGGCGCTGCCCAGACACAGGGCGACCGAGATCGGGGCCCCGTCGTGCCGGGTGCTGCCCAGACACAGAGTGACTGAGCTCAGGGCCCCGTCGTGCCGGGCGCTGCCCAGACACACCTGAGAGACAGTCCCCTGCAGGGTGCACAGACGTTTTGGGGAGCCTGAGACAAAATACGAAACAGAGGCTCCCCACCCTTCCAAAAATATTATCCCTGGGGGAAGGCCCTGGACTCGCCCAGCAGCGGTGGCTCCTGTCCCACATGGCTGAGCCTGGCTCCCCACTCTGGGCATTGCAACCTAGTGCATGGGGTTGCAGCACCACTCCAGTTAGGGGGCCCTCTCAAATGGGAGGCCCAGGGCAAAGGGCCCCTTTTGCTCCCCCAGGCAGCCCTGAGTAGCTCACAGTCTAAATAGAGTAGGCAGCTAAGGATGGAAGGGGAAACTGAGGCACAGAACAGCCGCCAAGAGTCTTACAGCAGATAGTGGAATAGAACCTAGGTGTCCTGTCTCCCATGTGGCTCTCTGGCCAGTGCCTTACTCACTGGGGTACATTTAATCCCCTTCAGGGCAGTGCCGGGGGACACACCCCATGAGCAGGGGCACTATGCAGGGGAAGTTTGCTCTGCTGCTGCCCAAGCTGCGTGGATAAGGCAGCCTACATGGCTCCCAATTCCGCCCCTGCGAGTTTGCACCTACCCCGCGGATCTCCGTCCTCCATCCCCGAGGGCCGCCAAAGGAGCAGGGCACGTGCAGGAGGCCTGGACCGGGGCAGGGAACCAGCCCGCATACCTGAATCGGATTGGGCTTGAGGAAATCAGGCCTGTGACTGGGCCTGTTGATGGTGGCTGTTTTGGGATGCTGGGGGGATGGTTAAGTCTCCCTGTGGGGGCCTCACCCCCGCCCCTCTCTGCCTTTCAGAGCTGTCCAAAGACAAAGACAACGCCATGCTCCTGGGGGACGGGATGGACAGACGCTCCCTTGCCCATGAGATTCTCAGCCAGCTGCCCCTGGCCCAGCAGGTGACTGGTGCCACGGAGCGTGGGAGGAGGGGGGCACCATGGGCATCCCTGCCCGGGGCATTGTGGGCATGGGTGGAAGGGTGTTTTGGGGCGTCTCTGCAGGCATCATGGGTATTTTAAGGATGTTCTTGGGCACCATGGTGAGCGTTTCACCCTAGCAAGTGGGGAGCGGTGAGCACTGTGAGGGGGTGATTTGGGTTTCCATTGGGTTAACCCCAGTGATAGCCAGTAGCATGGAGACCCACAGGTATGCCCCACTAACATCAAGTAGCAGAAAGTCCCACAGGTTACCCTCAATAATGGCAGAAGTCCCACAAGTTAATCCTAGTAATACCCAATGACAGTGAGTTCCAATAATATCCAGTATGAGGGATCCCACAGGTTAAATCATTTCCAGTAGCAGTGAATTCCATGAGTTAACTCTGATAATGATATCCAGTGGCAGGGAGTCCCACATGCTACCCTCAGTAATAGCCCACTGCAGTGAGTCCCACAGATTAACCCCAGTACTATCCAATGGCAGTGGGTCCCACAGGTTAAACTGAGTAATATCCAGTCGCAGGGAGTCCCATGAATTAACTTCAATAATAACCCGGGGCAGTGAGGTCCCACAAGCTAATCATGTTAATATCTAGCAGCAGTGAATCCCCTAGGTTAACCCCACCAATAGCGAGTGACAGGGAGTCCCGCAGGCTCACCTCAACAATATCACACAGCAACAAGTTCCATATATGAATTTCAATAACCACTACTTGCTTAACCGTCTCCACTCTTGCCATAGACAGCAGCCTGGGGGACCCTGGGCACCATCAAACCCTACCTGGGCTTTGACGTGGAGAGTGACGTGCAGCACCTCACAGAGGCCATCGTGGGCAATGGTAACGTGATCCCACCGTGGAGGGGGTGGGGGAGGGGATCCCAGCACCCAGCTGAATGGGTTCACACCCAGCTTCCCTGCCCGCTTGCTACAGGCGCTGACCATGGGGCCATCCTGGACGTGCTGACCAATCGGACCAGCGCCCAGAGGCAGCAGATCACCAAGGTGTTCCAGGCTCTCACCAAGCAGGTGATGGGAAGGGCCCCGGGGTTGGGGGGCACTGGGCTGGGCTCTCAGCAGCAGCGATGCTGTCTGCTTGGGGCCCATTTCAGGCACTGGAGTCTGGCTGCCCTGCAGAGAGATGCCGTAGTGCACAAGATGGGGCCGTGTGCCGGGCGTTTGGCAACGCACCAGCCATGCGGAAGACAGGGCAGCCACTCAGTGGGCTCCTTTCTGTGTCCCCATGCTCCTTTGGGTTCAACCCCACCCCGTCATATTAATAACCCAACACATCCTGGTTGCCGCTACGCTGCACAGTGGGCCACTGAGATCCTGACTGTGACTGTTCTGATCCTCCTATGGCCATAGCCCAGGCCCCAGCACTTGCGCCAACAGAGAATCCCTATTAGCTGTGGGCAGTATAGGGCTTATGCCACATTGCCGAATCTCTCCACTAGGGGGCAGCGGTGCATCCACAGACACTGGCCGCCTCATTACAACCTTTTCCCTTTCTCTAGAGGCTTCCATCTGAAACTCTGTGCAAATAATATTTATTAACCCTTGCAGCTCCCCTGTATGGGAGCCCTTATTCTCGCCACTTAACAAATGGGGAAACTGAGGCTGTGCTGAGGTTACACAGCGAGTCAGTGGCAGAACCGTGAATACAGCCCAGGAATCCTGACTTGCTGCCTCTTGCTCTACCCACTGGACCACACCCTCCCAGAACCCAGGAGTCCTGCCTTGTTTCATGCTCCAACTGCTAGACCAGCCCACTTGGGGTGACCATTCGCAGGGCCCTGAGGAAGGGAGCTGCCATGGGGTCCCCCAAATGCATGAAGCCTCCTGTCTCAGGGGAGTTGGGGCCTGGAGCTAGGCCACTGCTTGGCCCCAGCTCTGACCACTCCTGGGCTCTCTTCCAGGACCTGCTGAAATCCATGGAAGCGGCTCTGTCAGGGAACCTGGAGCGGGTCATCGTGGGGCTGCTGAAGCCACCGGCTCAGTACGATGCTCACGAGCTGAGGGCGGCCATGCAGGTACGGCCTGGGGACACAGCACCCCTTTGGGAGGCCAGTGGGGTGCATGTGGCCTATCAGCCCTGCTCCCGACTCTGCGCATGGCCGCGTCCAGCAGTGAGGGGCCCGCCAGAGAGACTACAAACACAGGTGGAAAATACCCAGAGGAAATTTGACAAATTCATCTGGTCAGTGGGAGGGGTTTAAGAGCAGGAAGGGTTGAGGAGGGGGCAGTGAGTGAGGGGCTTGCAAAGGGGATATAGCATCAGAAAAACTCAAGCGGATTTTGGACTGGCCAAGTCAAGGTTGGGATGTGATATTATCATATATAATATGTATTGTGTTTGTCAGGGTTCCTTCCCCACTCTGAACTCTAGGGTACAGATGTGGGGACCCACATGAAAGACTCCCTAAGCTTATTCTTACCTAGCTTAGGTTAAAACTTCCCCAAGGTACAAACTTTGCCTTGTCCTTGAACCGTATGCTGCCACCACCAAGCGTGTTAAACAAAGAACAGGGAAAGAGCCCACTTGGAGACGTCTTCCCCCAAAATATCCCCCCAAGCCCTACACACCCCCTTTCCTGGGGAGGCTTGAGAATAATATCCTAACCAATTGGTTACAAAATCATCAAAAACCCAAACCCCTGGATCTTGGAACAATGGAAAAATCAGTCAGGTTCTTAAAAGAAGGGTTTTATTAAAAAAAGAAAGGTAAAAATCATCTCTGTAAAATCAGGATGGAAAATACTTTACAGGGTATTCAGATTCAAAACACAGAGGATCCCCCTCTGGGCAAAACCTTAAAGTTACAGAAAACAGGAATAAACCTCCCTCTTAACACAGGGGAAATTCACATAAAACAAAAGATAAACTAATCCGCCTTGCCTGGCTTACCTATGCTGGTTGCAATATTGGAGACTTGGATTAGGATGGGTTGGAGAAGATGGATTTCTGTCTGGCCTCTCTCAGTCCCAAGAGAGAACAACACATAAACAAAGGTTTCAGAGTAGCAGCCGTGTTAATCTGTATCCGCAAAAAGAAAAGGAGTACTTGTGGCACCTTAGAGACTAACCAATTTATTTGAGCATAAACTTTCGTGGGCTACAGCTCACTTCATTGGATAAACAAAGAGCACAAACAAAACCCTCCCCTCCAACCCCCACCAAGATTTGAAAGTAACTTGTCTCCTTATTGGTCCTTTGGGTCAGGTGCCAGCCAGGTTAGCTGAGCTTCTTAACCCTTTACAGGTAACAGGATGTTGCCTCTGGCCAGGAGGGTTTTTATAGCACTGTATACAGAAAGGTGGTTCCCTTCCCTTTATATTTATGACAGTGGTAGAGGCCCCATGGTGCCAGGCGCTGCATAGACACAGACAGTCCCTGCCCCAAGCAGCTCACAGTCAGAACAGACCAGACGAAGAGTTGGAGAGGAAAGTGAGGCACTGTGAGGGGACAGGACTTGCCCAAGCTCACCCAGCTGGTCCGTGGGCATAGAACCCAGGTGTCCTGCCACTCTGGGGTGACACCTTGGAGGGAGGTCCGAGAAGAGCAGCACAAACAAGGAGGATGGCAGGAGCTGTACAGAGAGGTTAGAAGGGGGACGTGATAACAGGCGTCAAATGCCGTCCACGTCCCGAGGACTAGCTTGCCATAAAGCAGCATCACTGCCCATCCCCGCTCCTGGCTCAATGCTTCTCCTTTGGGCTGGCCCTCTCCACCCCCTATTCCAGTGAAGCCAGCAGTGGGCTTGTCCTCATCCCATGGCCATGCCAGCCACTCCCATGCCAGCCACTCCTGTACCCGCTCTGTGCCCTTTGCTTTCACAGGGCATGGGCACTGACGAAGATGCTTTGACCGAAATTCTCTCCACTCGATCCAACCAGCAGCTCAGAGAAATCGTGGCCTTTTACCAGCAAGGTAAAAGTGGGGGCGGGGAAGGCCAGGGGCTGTGAGGGGAGCCCCAGTTTAGTGCTGTCTGAGCCCTGGAGGAAGGGCCCTGCTACCCTGAGGACATTTGGATCCGTGTGTCTCTACAGCCAGCTGGGATTCCTTTTTCAATAAAAACGGGCCGGGGCGGGGGAGGGAATCATTTTGTCATCTATCAGCCAGGCTCCTTGCTTGAACTACATCTCTCATGATGCACCACACTCTCCCCTTTTCGTGAGGAAGGTGGTGCATCATGGGAATCACTGGCCATGATGCATCATGGGAAATGTAGTCCAGCCAGGGAGCCTAGCCCAAGAGAGGAAAATGGGGAGCATGAGGCACCGCAATAGCATTTCCTAATTGAAAGAGTTCAATTTTGGGGCATTCTGCTTTTCAATGAAAAATGAAACTTTTCTGTGGGGGAGTAGATATGTGTTGCGATTTTGTGTTTTTTAGTCAAAACCCCAATTTTCTGTCAAAAAACAGTTTCAATGAAAAATTTTGGACCAGTCCTATGTGGTCGCACATTAGGGTCGCTTTCTGTCCCCCCACCCCAAGGCTAGAGTATATATACAGGCTTCGGCAGCTAGCCTAGCAGGGGTGCTCCTTTAACTCAAGCAGAAGAGGTTGCTGCTTTTAAATCCAGAGGTCTCTTGGTTTGATCCCTGCATATATTCTAGCTGGCGGCCGTGTTACCCATGCAAGCCCACTGAGCTGAATTCCCCTTTAACCAGGGTGGTTTCTCTATCTCCAGATTTTAAAGCAGACCCTGAGAAGGACATAGCCTTGGAAACCAGCGGTTGGTTCAAGGAAATTCTCCTGGCTCTAGCAAAGGTAAAACTTTGTTTGGTTCCTTTTCTGCATAACCTGAATGGGCACGTACACTGGGGACCACTGCTCAGCTGCAGGAACCAGCAGAGCAAGGGTGGGGGGCCGAGCACGCACCCACCTGCTTTACCATCTCCAGCACTCCCTTCCCTCAGCATTTGTGGGCATCATGGTACATACAGCTACTGGCAAACAGACAAGCTTCCACACCACTTGAGACCCAGCTTTGTTTCTGTTAATTACCAGACAGCCACTCTCTGCCTCCTCCACGCAGCCTACCCAAGGGTCCTCTAGTGGCTGAATATTGTAACTGCGAGCGGACATCCTGTTAGGTGGGTTGTGGGGCGAGGGACTCCAGCTCTGACCACGTCACAAATCCATCTCTCCGGCCTTCTACCCTGCAGGGGAAGCGTGAGCGTGACACTGGGATCATCGACTATGCCCTGATACAGCAGGATGCCGAGGTGAGCCTGGGGATGTGCCCAAGGTGGTGGGGGGTGAGTTGTTGAAATCCTCCTGCTGGACTGACTGGGGGGAGTTCCATGCCTCCCGGGGTCCCCAGGGATCCATGCTCAGAGAGAGGCATTGGGATGGGGTCGTTTTGGGATGGCGTCAGCCTCCTGAGGCCAAGGAGCCGTGGCAGCAGTCAGTACTGCACCTTGCTGTACACCGGCCACAGGCCACAGTAGTGACACGATTGGCACCAATGGGCGGCTGCCCCCTGCCCATTGCACCTGTTTGTCCCCGTGCTTCTGGATCACGTGCCCCTTGCCTGCCTCAGGTCTGAGCTTCCTCAGCGAAGCCAAGCTCAGTGCACCTTTGCTCAGAGCTGCCTGGTTATGGCTCTGGAATAGATGCCCCCGGTCCCATCTTGCTGCATCCCCCAACCCAGAACACAGTGGGATTAATTCCAGGCTAATGGGGAAGCCCTCTGGGGGGGAGTCACTTCTCGCAGCACCCACAGCCCATCACCGCTCTCCTCCTCTTCCAGGCTCTTGCAGACCCAGGAGCCAGCAGCGAGGGGGCTGGTGAGAGGACATGGATAAGTATCTTCACGCAGCGAAGCCCTGAGCATCTCAGCAGAGGCAAGGCCCAGATGCCCTGCTGCAGGAACCTGGCGTCACTCACAGCTGGGAGCTGGCACAGGGAGTCGGGGCATTTCTCTCTCTGTGTCCATGTGGCCCGACCCAGGGGTACCCTGGAAATTTTGTCCACGGGCTGCCCCACCCCCTTGCAGGCACTCGCCACTAGTCCTGCAGGGACATGGCCTCCTGGAAGCAGGGTGCGGCTGGGCAGGGCCCTGGGGGGAAGCCCTGGTACAGGAACCGGCCCCATAGCAGCAGGGGAGAAGGGGCAGTGGCCACCTCACTGTCCACTCAGGTTTGGACCTGCAGCCCCTCTGTCATGACAAGGGTGCTGGTCGGGCCAAGTCTGAGTGAGTGGTGTCATGATCTGACACATGGGGGTTCTATGCTGCTTAGGTCTCACCCATGGTCAGTGGGGTGGCCAGCACTGCATCCCCTTACCACTGCCATGGGGCTGGCTTCTGCACCCCGGCTCCCCATCGGGGGGCTGCCCGGCCTCCAGCGGCCCATGTCCCCTCTGCTCTGCCCCCAGGACTCGTTCAGCAACAGCCTGGAGACCTGCACAAGCATGGGAAGCTGCAGTGGGTACCCGCCCGGGGGAGCCGGCCAGGACGGGGGTGGCAGGCGCACACCATGTGAAAAATGTCTGCAGGCATCCTGGCCCCAGGGTAGATGGTGTCATGCGGGCAACGCTGTATTTCACCAGTGTCGCTCGTTTCGCTCGGCAGGGCGGGAGTGAACCCTACCCTAAGAGTGCAGTGTGGCTGGTCTGTGCAGCGTGTCCCTGCCCCAGGAGTGCTTTGCTGGTACGGCGCCCTGGGACAGCCCCCCGGCAAAGCACGCCACGTGCAGGCCAGGACTAACTCTCCCCTTTCCAACTCTGGTAGTGTTCAGTCAGTACCGGAAATCCCACGGGCTGGAGGTGGAGGAGACCATCTGCAAGCGCTTCCGGGGAGATGGCCAGATGGCCATGCTGGCCCTAGGTAAGCACTAACCTGGGCTGCAGTTGGGTCTGGGTCCCCTGAACCTGAGAGCGCCATCAGCCAAGTGCAGTTCAGAGGCAGAAGGGCCCAGGGGTTAGTGTGCCAACTGGGGGTTTGTGCTCTGCTAGGGACTCCCAGGGTGACCTTGGACCAGTCGCTCCATGCCTCAGTTTCCCATGGGGACCGTGGCATTTACCTGCCTCAAAGCGGGTTGGATCAATCCGCTAAAGCCTGGGAAGTGCTCAGGGATGGCGGCCGGAGAGGTAGAAGAGAATATTTAGTGGGAGTCACTATTGCAGATTCCCTGTTTTCTGATGGCGTCATCCACGGGTGACGGCCCCATTTATAAAGGGCTAATCCCTGGCAAATGGACGGGGGATGCACGGTGCAGACATGAGTAGTGGGTGGTGGGCGTGGCTTTGCGGCCATCAGAAGAAGGGAGCATAGATGGTTCTAAGGACCCCATTTGACTCCCTCTAGAGCACCCGATTGATTCACATAGGTTATACGTTCTGTGGGACAGGGACTGGATTTGTACAGTGCCTAGCGCAATGGGGGCCTGGGCCAAGCTACTCATTTATTTATTAACTCATTATAAACAGACCCTGCAGCATCAAGTGAGAGCCAGGCTTTGGGCTCCACTCAAGGCCTGGAAGAACACGAGCATGCGCAGGGCAGTGGGCATGAAGGGTTCTGGGCTCAGGGGTGACTCAGGGCTGGCACCGAGCTGCCTGGCCTTGAGGGACAAGATGGGCGATCGCTGCCCCTGGGGCACCAGGACAAATGCCACCTCCTTGCTAAGGAGCATTGCCATCCGCTGGCCTCTCTGTGCAGCGAGTGCGGTGGGTCTCAGCGCAGTTCCTAGCAGGCCGGCGTTTGCCTGGCAGACGCCAGCTGCAGCGTTGTCTCTAGCGAGCCCCTCGGGCTGGCAGCCCCCCCTGAGTGGCTGAGCACCGAAGGGGTTATGGGGGTGGAACCGCCTGCCCCGTCAGCTATGGGAGAATTCCCAGGAGGTGTGTACAGTACAGGGCTTATGACACCGAGTGGAGCAGTTCTGATTCCATCCATCAAAGTGCAGTGGTGCCCCGTGCATGCCAGCCAGCATGTGCCATGGCTTGAACCCTGGGCCCCCCCTCTCATTTCAGCCTCGGCGTGCAGGAACACCCCGCGCTACTTTGCCGAGAAGCTGCACAATGCCGTGAAGGTGAGTCGCCTTCAACCCATGCCAGTGAATCGGCGGTGTATGGGCCCAGCGGCCTTTTGGGGCAGCCCGGCAGTGATGTTCGGGCTGCAGGGGGTTCTGTGCATGCCACTAAGGTCAGACAGGACCTTTAGCCATCGGGAGGGGGCCGATGCTGCATTAGTCTGCTTGCAGGGGGCAGTTACTGGGCTGTAGAAACCAGTGGGGATACAGTGACCCCTACCACCAGAACTTGGGGCTCCACTTCCCATCTATCGGCGGCTGAAATTTCTCCATCTCCCAGCCTGAGCGTGCACCTCCCCTCTCCTCCCCTCCCCCACAGGGCCCCGGCACCGATGACAAAGTCCTGATCCGTGTCCTGGTCTCCCGCAGTGAAACCGACCTGCTGAGCATTCGCTCCGAGTTCAAGAAGTGCCATGGGAAGTCTCTGTACTCCTGTCTCCAGGTCAGCCTGCTGCGCCCGCCCGGGGGCAGAGACAGAGACAGAACCAACACCAGCATGCCCTAGAACCCGGGGGGGCATAGAGCCGCCAGGCCAAGCACCCCCCGTGGTCCTGACTCCCACATTCCCTGCTCTACCCACTAGACCCCACTTTCCTCCCAGCACCAGGATTAGAACCCAGGAGTCCTGGCTCCCAGCCCCTTGCCTAGTGAGAGCAAGACCGGACCCTGCTCCTTGGAGTCAGGCATAGAATCTGGGCCCTCCACCACCAACTTTCCTGTCCTACCCACTAGACCGCGCTGCTTTCTTCCAGTGTTTGCTGTAAAGGTTTAGGTTGGGAAATGTCTCATTGCTCTCTCCTTTCCTTGCTCCAGGTGGAGACGAGAGGCGATTACCAGGCAGCGCTGCTAGCCTTGTGCAGGGCGGAAGACCTGTAGGGCAGCTGCCAGCTTCGGAGAAACCCGCTGAGCCCATTGGCCTGCAGAAAACGGTGGGGAACAGTGCACCAGAGAGGGAGGGAAGCATGAGTCCGCCCAGTGGCATCGAGTTCATTCCTTTTATCACGTTCACTCATTTTATCATGGAAACAGCCATGAGCTGCACTCAGCAGGGTGCATCTACGCTGCAACCGGGGTATGTGATCACATCCCCGAGCCTTGAATAACAAGAGCAGGGATGGGGGGCTGCCCGGGCAAGCCCTGCCCTCCCAGGACCCTGGGTATTTAGTTGAGCGGCCTCCGCTCATGCAGTGTTTCAACAGGTGCGCGCATCACTGCTGTTGTTGTTGGAGCGAGCTGGCTAGATCCTCGCTGCACGCTCTGCAATCACACTTCCCCAGGGCAGGGCAGACCATTTTTAAATCAAGGTTGGAGGTTTTGCTAAACGTTCTGCCCTAGGAATTGTTTCGGGGCAGGTCTCTGGCCTGCGCAATCCAGGAGGTCAGTCTAGATGATCACAATGGTCCCTTCTGGCCTTGGACTCTAGAAATACCAGGACCTGCAGCCGTCCCGGAGCTGAGAAATCAGGAGTGCTGCCAATTCTTGCGATGTTCTTGAAGTCCCAGCTCCAGGAGTCATGTGATTCTGGCGGAATGTTAGCTTGCATTTTCAAAAAAGGCTTTGTCCACATGGGAAAGTTTTCCAGTATGTTGTTTTTAAACTGATATAGTTATACTGGTATAACCTCCTCCATGGACAAGCCTATCCTGGTGCAAGAGGGCCATTTAGCTACGTCACTTGGGAAAGGGTTTAAGTGAAATCTAATACACACCCCCGTCCTACTGAAATAAGAGGGGCCACACCCGGGGTTACCCCAGTATTTCTCTCTCTGGCTAATTATAATACCTAGCTCTGATATTGTGCTTTTGTTCAGCAGAGTGCAAAGTGTTTTCTAACGGAGGGCAGTGTTCCTATCCCAATTTTACAAATGGGGCAACTGAGGCACAGAGCAGGCGGTGACTTGCCCAAGGTCACCCAGCAGGCCAGAGCTGCCATGTCCTCCCAGTCCAGCACTCCAGCTACTAAAACACTGCTGTGTAGACACACTCTCAATTTTTAGCCCTTGGGCTGGTGGAAAGAAGCTTGAGAATGTGACCTGAGGGCAACCCTCAAGGTTCAGAAACCGGGAGCTGGGGAACAGGGAGCCAGACTCCAAATTTATTATTTTTCAACAATCTCATGATTCTTCAGCCATGCTTGTGATATTTGCAGGCCTGATACCTGGTGTTTGATCCCTTGACTTTGGCAACAGAGTGTCAGGAAAATTGGTTTTGGCACCGGCTTGGCCACTATTAAAATTTCAACCTTCATAACTGTCAATCAGGAGGTGATTTTTTTTAACCAGTATAGTCAGACCAATGGGTCAAATCGTACTGTGTATACCAGTATAAAAGTACCTTATACTGGTACGGCTGATTCCCCTTCCCCTATAGAACCAGCTATGCTGGCATAATGCACCTCTCTCCTCATATAACTGCATCCCCACTAGGGCCATGCCTACCCTGTAGATCAGTGGCTCTCAACTTCTCCAGACGACTGTACCCCTTTCAGGAGTCTGATTTGTCTTGTGTACCCTCACTTCTGCTTACAAAACCAGACAGAAAAATACAGTTCTGGAAGTTCTCTGCATAGCGCTGGTTGAGAACCACTGCTATAGCCTTCTGCCAGCATCTAGCTGAGATCTAAACAGCTGAGAGCTGCCCCTTTAAGGCCAGGGCTACCCCGACCTCGGCTGGTATAGCTATGGCAGCCAGTAGCATCATCCCCGAGCTACAGTGTTATACCCCCACCGTAGACACAGTTATACGAGCGTTGCTCGTTTCGCTGGGCAGGGCCAGTAAAAGTGCGGTTTTGCCAGTGTAAGCTGCGTCCGCACTAAGCGTGCTTTGCTGTTCTATCACTGTAGTGTAGGGCCAAGCAGGGCCCTGGCTGCAGGGGGGGTTGGCTGCTTTAATTATACCAGGCTGTCGTTCAAAGTGGCACAACTTTCTAGCAGAGACACTTGTGCCTATCTGGCCCCACTCACGGTGGTGTGGACTCAGAGTGCCTCGGAGGCAGGGCCGTGCTGTTATCCCCCTCGCGTGGATGGGGAGCCGGCGCTAACAAAAGTGACGAGATTGGCCCAAGGCCATGCGGGGAGGCTGGGGGTTCTGGTAGGACTGAACGCTGCTAGAATCGAGCACTCGCCCTGTTCGTTTCCTGGAAAGAAGCCGATGGGAGGCCCTGCGGCTCTGCTGAACTGAATCACTCCGCCAAAATGAAACACGCATCATTTAAAAAAATAAATGATGAAACCCTTGGTTATGGAAAGAATGAAGCAACTGTCCCCTTTAATTTTCTCAGCCCAGAGGTGGCATGGTGCAGGGTGACCAAGGATCCAGTGGTGGAGTCAGGAAGAGAACCCAGGAGTCCTGACTCCCAGGCCTTCTCCTCACCCCACGTCCCTCCCCAGAGCTGGAAACGCAACCCAGGTGCCCTGCCTCCCAGGGGTCAGTTGCTCAGTGTCACCTAAAATGGTCCACTGTTGCTGCACTACCATGTATTGTTTTTAGGCAGGTCCTACATAAACAGCGACTTTTTAAATTCACCCTTTGCTGGCAACAGTGACTAACAAGAGAAGCAGCGGCTCCCGCAGGGTGACTGACATGCTGGCAAAGGGGGCCTCAGAAAAGTTAGAAGAAAGAAACACAAATTGGATTCCTGGCTCACTGCTCAAATCATGTCAGTTTCCCACACCGATGCGGTCATAAATATGAAAGGAAGGGTAACCACCTTTCTGTATACCGTGCTATAAAATCCCTCCTGGCCAGAGGCAACATCCTGTTACCTGTAAAAGGTTAAGAAGCTCAGGTAACCTGGCTGGCACCTGACCCAAAATGACCAATGAGGGGACAAGATACTTTCAAATCTGGAGCGGGTGGTGGGGAGGAGGCTTCTCTCTGTCTGTGCGATACCTTTGCCGGGAACAGATCAAGGATGCAAGCCCTCCAACTCTTGTAAAATTAGTAAGTAATCTAGCTAGAACATGCTTTAGGTTTTTTTTGTTTTGGCTTGTGAAATTCGCTGTGCTGGAGGAAATGCGTATTCCTGTTTTTGTGTCTTTTTGTAACTTAAGGTTTTGCCAAGAGGGATTCTCTATGTTTTGAATCTGACTGCCTGTAAGATTATCTTCCATTCTGATCTCACAGAGTTGTTCTCTTATCTTTTTTTGTTCTTCTAATAAAGTTCTGTTTTTTTAAGAATCTGATTGGGGTTTTTGGGTCTTAAAAATCAAGGCTGGTTTGTGCTCATCTTGTTTATTCTCAAGCCTCCCCAGGAAAAGGGGTGTAAGGGCGTGGGGGGATATTTTGGGGAAACAGGAACTCCAAGTGGTCCTTTCCCTGTTCTTTGTCTAAATCACTTGGCGGTGGCAGCATACTGTTCAAAGATAAGGCGAAATTTGTGCCTTGGGAAAGTTTTTAACCAAGCTGGTAAAAATAAGCTTAAGGGGTTTTTCATGCAGGTCCCCCCATCTGTACCCTAGAGTTCAGAGTGGGGAGGGAACCCTGACAGGTGCTGTGTGGGCCTGGCTGAGGTTAGGACCCAGTGAGGTTGTTCTATGGAGGTGCAGCGTCTTTAGGCTCCTAGATTGGAACAAACCGAATGAAGGCTTGTCTACACTCAAAAGTTAAGTCAGATTAAGGTAGGGCATGAATTTAAATCGCAGTGGCTATTCCCGAATAGAGACACTAATTCTGTCAGAAGAGTACCTTATTTCCTTTGTAGCTTAATCCCGATTAAACTACAGCAGAACAAATTCCCTCAATCCAGACTCAGGGTCCACACAGGATGCTAATCAGGTACAGCTATTCCAGAGTAACTCCACAGGTGGACAAGCCCAGGCACCAAAACTGGGGAGCGGACAGGGAAGGGGGAGGATGGGCTTGGTCCTGACCCAGAACACGCTCTTCTGCCAGTGACCGGCAGGAAGGGAGGTTGTCGAGTCTCAGTCATCTCCAAGGGTGGCCGCATCCCCCAAAGACACTGCAGGTAGCCTGTTTTGGAGGCCCCAATGGTTGGAAGGAAAAGGCAGCTGGCCTCGAGACGTGCTTTGGGCACGGGTGAGACATCGGGGACTTTCACTTTTTAGTCTCCATTGCCACCAAAACAACAAAAAACCCGACAGTCTTCACTGTTTATGTAGGACCGACCTAAAAACACTATGCCTGACTTGCAGAGGAGCAACTGCCACTGGACTTTAATTGGACTTGGAGTGGGGGGGCCTTCAGGCCCCTGGGAAAGTCAGGCCCCCCAACACTCTAAGCTCCTGGGTACTGGAGCAGCTACACAACCCTCAGTCCTGGGACAGTTACCAGCAATGCCCCCCATGAATTAAAAACCACCATGAGTGATGCTGTGTTCTTTGCAAGAGGCAAAATGCCCCCCCTCCCCATGCTGGATGGACAAAAAGATGGACATTCCCGGGGCGGGAGACAAACACCCAGCAGACTGCAGCCCAAGGGCTGGATCGAACAGACAAGCCCCAGAGACTGACATACAGAAAGTCGTCAGACCAGTCCTAGGGAGACAGATGCCCCATGAGCACATAGGAACAAGCCCCCAGCCCTAGAGACACCCCCCACAAACCATCACACCAGTACCCTAGGGAAAGACACTTTTATTTCCAAACGTCTAAGGCAGTGTTACAAATAACGGAGAGTAGAAAAGAGACAAACTCCTCAAGCCCGAGAGCGTAAGAGCAGGGGGACAGAGCCCAGCCCCCTGGGAAGGCAAGTGCCCAGGTGCTTACCACAGAAGGTTCGTTAGTGTCCTGAAGGTTTGATCCTGATCCCATTCAATCCATGGGGTGGAGGCGGGGGACGTCACAGGATGAGGAGCGGGGCAGGGTTAACTAACCCATGGGAGCCACCCTGATCCTGGGTCCTAAACGTGCCCCTCCCCACTGCAGCTTTTCTGGGGAGGAGGCTGTCTGGAAGAGGAAGAGGGATTGGGAAGAAACCAGCAAAGGACAGGAACAGGAGATGTCATTCCTGTGGGCTCGGCTGCTGCTGATCTGGAACAGCCAGCGAGCATCTCGGTCCTGGCGCTGGGCTCCCTGCCTCTCGTAGGGGCAGGCAGCACCCCCTCTGCCCCGGCCAGCACTGGGATCCAGCCTGCAGTCACCTGGGAGCCGGCGTAACCGCGCTCCCCCCCACTCGAGCTGCAAGTCCCGCTGGCTCCTGTGTCACTCGGCGTCTCGCGAGCAGGAGAAGGGGCTCCGAGTACCTCCCCTGACCCAGCTAGGTGGCTGCTGATGCCAACGGGGTCGGATAACCACCATCCCGCCTCGGGTTGTTTTCCACAGGGTCTGGTTTAAACCCTCCCTGCTGGAGGGAGGACGGTGCCATGGCAGACAGGGCTAAGGGAAAGCTTTGTCCCAGCAGGGAATTTACATCCAAACCTTCCCCCTGCTCCTACACTCTGGGCGCTTTACTCTGCAAATTATTTCAATGCACCCTGAAAACGCACTTCCTGCAGCTCGGATCGCGTCATTGGGCTGGAGAGAGTTTGGACCCGACAGATCCCCTCCCCCTGCAATCCACTCGCCCCCCGAGCCACCGCTGGCTCTGCCTCCGTGCCAATGCTGCCTTAGTTAATTAGAGCCGATGGCCTTGCCCGCTGAATTCCCAGCGGGACCGCTGAGTGCAGGATCGGGCCCACCCAAGGGGAGACTACACAGGAGGGGGCAGGGGGGAAATGTGCCTGTTCAGATTCTGCACTCGCCCAGCCATGAGAATCGAATCAAGGAGGCAGCAACTCATTGGCTAGCACCCTGGGGACCTTCTGCATCCTCCTGTCTGCGTCAAGGCCTTGCAGAGCATCTCTTGGCCCTCCGGCAGGAGGGGGACACACGGGCGTCCCGCCAGCTTTGTAAGTGCACCCCCTGCCCCAGAGACCCTGCACAGGCCGTTGCTCCTTAGTTGCACTGGATTCACGAGAGGCACCGGGCAGCTGCCTGGGACACTCGGTGGGTTAGCTGCCCCCGCTCGAGGGAGGCTGGCAGCTGCTGCTTCGTGCCTGTTAAATAAGCCTCTGTGTTTTCACAGCATCACAGCTGCTTCTATCTGTGGATCCCAAAGCATGTGAGGAAGGAGTGGGTGAACTGGTACCATCACCCCCTTTTCTCCCCTCTGCCCCTGCTATATCCGATGGAGAAAAGGAGGAACAGGGTAGGGAAGCAACTTGCCCCAGCATCCCACAGCGAGTCAGGGTGAGAGCTGGGAATGGAACCCAGGAGTCCTGGCTCCAAGTCCCCACCAGCTCTAATCACTGATCCCACTCCCCCCCGAGAGCTGGGAAGAGAACCCAGGAGTCCTGGCTCATACTCACACCCCCACCCTCCGCTAAGCTCTAGGTCCTACTCTGCTCCCAGAGCTGGGACTGGAACCCAGGAGTCCGGGCTCTGATCACTGAACTCTCTGCCTCTGGGAGAGGAGAGCACTCGGTATCTTTGGGGAGAGCTCAGAGGTATGAGGTACAGCTGAGGGCGTCGGGGGTGAGGAGAAACTGCAGCCAATGCACAGCCCGGCTGGACTCCGCCCTGCACGGTCCCTCCCGCGCTGCGATGCGCAGGCCTGGGAGATGCCAGCAGCACGGAACGAGGTTTCACCCCCGCAGCGCGGGAGCCAGGGCTGGGTTCTTCGGGAAGCGGGTCCCGTGCTGGGGAGGGCGGGGGCCGGGGGAAGCGGAGGCGAGGCGAGCCCCACCGGGGCTGTTGTCTGGGAGTCTTCACGGTGACGCGGCAGGACCATGGGAGGGCGAGGGGTCCGAAAGCAGCAGGCAGGGGGGCGAGCGGCTCTAGAGCAGGACACAGTCCGACTCCTGCTTATGTCTGTGCCTGCGTTCCCCGGCCGGCCGGCCGGCTGGCTGAGCTCTCCCCTGAAATCAAGGAGACGAAAAAGCAGCTGCTACCTTCAGCGATCTCAGGGTGCTTTTCAGACCAGTCCCATTCCCCCCCCCGCCGCCCCCCGCCCCAATATCCTCTCCTAGGAGGAAGCGATGGAAGCAAAGAGAGGGGGAGTGACTTGGCACGTGGCCTTGGCGCAGCCAGGGTTGGAACCTGGGGGTCCTGGGGCCAGCCCCCTCTCTAATCATTAGGCAATACTCCTCCCAGAGCTAGGCATCTGAGTCAATGGGCCCCAGTTTCCAGGTCTCTCCCCTGGCACCCTCCACAGGCTTGGGAACAGAAGCCAGGCGCCCGGCCTCACTTCCAGGCTCCAGTCGCTGTCCTGAGAGATGCAGCTGCTGCAGGAGAGGCTTTGGAGTTAGATTCCCATGCAAAGCCACAGATCCCTGATCCGCCCGCTGCCACGGAGCAAAGGCCTGCGGGCCGCGGCTAAGCCGTGGCGAGGAGGAGACAGAACTGCACAGGACAAAGTCGCTGTCCCAGCGCCACCGAGAGTGACCGGCGCGTCGGCCCCACACAAGGGGGAAGACTGGCCTGACCAGAAGAGGGATGCTCGGGCTGAGCTGGGCAACTCCTGGGTGGGAGGGTTAAAGGGAGGCTGGAATGGACCCACCCTGCCCCACCACGCACGGGGCACGGGTTTGAGTTTCCCTCGCCCTAGGCGGGTGCGACCCCACAGCACCCCCTGCTGGCTGGTCTCGGAGCAGCGCTGACAGGCTCTCCAGGATCCCGGAGGAAGCAAGGTCCTCATGGCAGGGGAGTGGGAGGGGGCTGCAATGTATTCTGGGAGGGAGGCCAGGGCCCATTACCTGCGCGGGAGGCGCTGCTGGCTGCTGGTGATGCTGGTATTCCTCCTGCTGCAGCTGGCGTGCAAGCTCTAGGTCGCTCAGGGCAGAGGGGCCCTGCTGCTGTTGCTGCAAGGACAGGGCGATCATGTAGTCCTGGGGGCAAGTGGGGGTGGTGGGGAGAGACGTGGTCAGTGCTGGGACTCCCAGGGAGCGAGACACACGGAAGAAGAGATCTCATACCCCAGAGGGTCCCGAAGCCCGACACTAATTGTGCACATACAGGATCACTCGCCCAGCACTGGGACGCAGCCACCTCTGGGGAGCAACGCCGCAACCATTTAGTGACGGTGCTGCAAAACGCTTGGGGGCAGGAACGAGAGACAAGTCGCTGAAGGGGTACGTCAGTCTCAACAGGCCTCTGCATGAATTCACTTAGCAGTGATTATCTGGGAGGCCTGGCTCCCAGCGTCACCCTGCTCTAACCACTAGACTACATTGCCCTAAAGATAAGGATCCTGCTACAGTAGATACCGATTCCTGGAGGTGATACATTTCAGTCAGAAGAGCAGGGGAGCTACAAATTCCATTCTCTAGGCCACATATCCTGTCTGGAGCTGGAAAGAGAACCCAGGAGTCCCAGCTCCCAGTCCCCTTTGCTGTACCTACTAGGCCACATTCCCCTCCTCTAGCTGGAAAGGAACCCAGGAGTCCTGAAGCCCAGCCCCCTCTGCTCGAACCGCTCAGATATGCTACTGTAACTAACCACCTCCCAGCGCAGTCAGGCCTCTGCTGAGCCATTTGTTTCCTACCTGGTCCACCTGCCTCTGCTCCTGGGGGGAGCTGCCGGCCGCCTCCTTCCCCAGGGTGTGGCTCAGGTGGAACTCGGCGTCACAGAAGCAGCTGTCCCCATCCACGTTGTGCAGGCTCTCCCAGGTCACCTTCTCCTCCTGCAGGAAGCCCTGGTCCGTGACCAGCAGGTACAGGTGGCCCTGTGGAGAGATGAGTAAGAGACAGCGTCCCCTTGAGAGCCCTCAGAGGGTGGGCAGAGCGGCAGCCTGTGATCCACTAGGGCACAGAGACAACACCCCCTGGGGACGTCGCAATCAAGGGGAACCATCACCCCACCTCTAGTGGGGCACACAAGCCTCCATGCAAGGCAGGAAAGGAACCTAGATGGGAACCTGGGAGGCAGTGACCAAGAGATGGTCAAGTTCAGGATCCTGACACAAGGAAGAAAGGAAAGCAGCAGAATACGGACCCTGGACTTCAGAAAAGCAGACTTTGACTCCCTCAGGGAACTGATGGGCAGGATCCCCTGGGAGAATAACATGAGGGGGAAAGGAGTCCAGGAGAGCTGGCTGTATTTTAAAGAATCCTTACTGAGGTTACAGGGACAAACCATCCCGATGTGTAGAAAGAATAGTAAATATGGCAGACGACCAGCTTGGCTTAACAGTGAAATCCTTGCTGCTCTTAAATACAAAAAAGAAGCTTACAAGAAGTGGAAGATTGGACAAATGACCAGGGATGAGTATAAAACTATTGCTCGGGCTTGCAGGAGTGAAATCAGGAAGGCCAAATCACACCTGGAGTTGCAGCTAGCAAGAGATGTTAAGAGTAACAAGAAGGGTTTCTTCAGGTATGTTAGCAACAAGAAGAAAGTCAAAGAAAGTGAATGAGGGAGGCAATCTAGTGACAGAGGATGTGGAAAAAGCTAACGTACTCAGTGCTTTTTTTGCCTCTGTCTTCACGAACAAGGTCAGCTCCCTGACTACTGCACTGGGCAGCACAGCATGGGGAGGAGGTGACCAGCCCTCTGTGGAGAAAGAAGTGGTTAGGGACTATTAAGAAAAGCTGGACGAGCACAAGTCCATGGGGCCGGATGCGCTGCATCCGAGAGTGCTAAAGGAGTTGGCGGATGTGATTGCAGAGCCATTGGCCGTTATCTTTGAAAACTCATGGCGATCGGGGGAAGTCCCGGACGACTGGAAAAAGGCTAATGTAGTGCCCATCTTTAAAAAAGGGAAGAAGGAGCTGGGAACTGCAGGCCAGTCAGCCTCACCTCAGTCCCTAGAAAAATCATGGAGCAGGCCCTCAAGGAATCAATTCTGAAGCACTTAGAGGAGAGGAAAGTGATCAGGAACAGTCAGCATTGATTCACCAAGGGCAAATCATGCCTGACTAATCTAATTGCCTTCTATGATAAGATAACTGGCTCTGTGGATGAGGGGAAAGCAGTGGACGTGTTGTTCCTTGACTTTAGCAAAGCTTTTGACACGGTCTCCCACAGTATTCTTGCCAGCAAGTTACAGAATTATGGGCTGGATGAATGGACTATAAGGTGGGTAGAAAGTTGGCTAGATTGTCGGGCTCAACGGGTAGTGATCAATGGCTTCATGTCTAGTTGGCAGCTGGTATCAAGTGGAGTGCCCCAAGGGTCGGTCCTGGGGCCAGTTTTGTTCAATATCTTCATTAATGATCTGGAGGATGGTGTGGATTGCACCCTCAGCAAGTTTGCAGATGACACTAAACTATGAGGAGAGGTAGATACACTGGAGGATAGGGATAGGATACAGAGGGATCTAGACAAATTGGAGGATTGGGCCAAAAGAAATCTGATGAGGTTCAACAAGGACAAGTGCAGAGTCCTGCACTTAGGACGGAAGAATCCCATGTACCGCTGCAGACTAGGGACCGAATGGCTCGGCAGCAGTTCTGCAGAAAAGGACCTAGGGGTGACAGTGGACGAGAAGCTGGATATGAGTCAACACTGTGCCCTTGTTGCCAAGAAGGCCAATGGCATTTTGGGATGTATAGGTAGGGGCATTGCCAGCAGATCGAGGGACGTGATCGTTCCCCTCTATTCGACATTGGTGAGGCCTCATCTGGAGTACTGTGTCCAGTTTTGGGCCCCACACTACAAGAAGGATGTGGAAATATTGGAAAACGTTCAGTGGAGGGCAACAAAAATGATTAGGGGACTGGAACAATGACTTATGAGGAGAGGCTGAGGGAACTGGGATTGTTTAATCTGCGGAAGAGAAGAATGAGGGGGGATTTGATAGCTGCTTTCAACTACCTGAAAGGGGGTTCCAAGGAGGATGGACCTAGACTGTTCTCAGTGGTAGCAGATGACAGAACAAGGAGTAATGGTCTCAAGTTGCAGTGGGGGAGGTTTAGGTTGGATATTAGGAAAAACTTTTTCACTAGGAGGGTGGTGAAACACTGGAATGCGTTACCTAGGGAGGTGGTGGAATCTCCTTCCTTAGAAGTTTTTAAGGTCAGGCTTGACAATGCCCTGGCTGGGATGATTTGATTGGGGATTGGACTAGATGACCTCCTGAGGTCCCTTCCAACCCTGATATTCTATGATTCTATGAAAGGGTTAATGGGCTACTGCAGGCCCAAATAGAGACATTGGGGAAACTGAGGCACGGCTGCCACAAATGCTGCAACAGGCCATAAAGGGCTGTGATGGGGCAGCAGCTGTGCCTCAGTTTCCCCAGTGTCTCTATTTGGGCCTTCAGTAGCCCACTAACCCTTTCCTGCCTTGTGTGGAGCCTCCCCAGCCACAGAGCCCACATGTGCAAATGCACGCAGCAGCGGTTATGGAAGGCAGAGGTGTGGGTGGAAGGGGCCGGGCTGACCTGGTGCTTGATCATGGTGCTGAAGTGGTTGTTTCTGAAGAAGACACTTAGTTCCCCCTCTTTGACCGCAGCCATGAGCTCGCACAGGCCGTGGTAGGTCAGCTGGGTGGCTGTGGACTCCAGGAACTGCTCGGCGATCAGGCCTGGGGCGGAGAAACAAGGCGTCAGGTGGGGTGCGGGCATGAACTGGGGGGTTAGACCGGCGCTCAGCGTGGGTGCACCGATGATGGGCGTGAAACCGGCTCAACTTGCGCCTACGAATTTACCGACAGTAGCTAAACCGATTTACCAAACCAGAGAGACACAAGGCGGGACAGAAACCAGCGACACAGGGAAGGGAAGTGACTTGCTCAGCGTCAGAGCAGGCAACAGAACCCAGCTCTCCTGCGTCCAAATCCAGCACCCTACCCACTGGGCCACTCTGCCTAGCGACCCACAGCTTGGGAAGCGAACAAGCTGCAGCCTCACCGAGCAGCGGTAGGAAAACGCATGGGGGGGGTGAGCGGGAATACCTTTGGGGTGGGGGGCAGGTGCTCTGCTGAGCAGCGGTTTAACTCCCTCCACGCCCGTAGAGGAGTCAGCGTTTGTCCAGGCAGCCAGGGAACGGCTCGGATGCCTCGTCCCCAGCTAAACCTCCTGGCGCAACCCGACGGCCTGTTTGTCTGATGCAGGTGCAACGCAACAAAGGCAGGTCGGGAGAGAACAGGGTTTCAAAGCAACCTGGCAAGGCCTTAAACGGAAACGCAGCCAGGCGCGGGGTGGCTCCTCCCTGAGCTTTTCCCACCTGACGACACTGGGTGGGCTGGTGGAAATGGGGTGGGAGGTGGAGTGTCCCTTAACTGCAGCACCCCCGCGCTCAGCACAGCCAGGCCTCTTAAAGGGTCGGATGCACATCCTCTGATTCCCTGGGGAACCCCAGTTCCTCGCTGCCCGTGACCAAGCCTGTACCCTGGCTATTCTGCACTCTTCCACTGGCACATGGGGGGGTCCCCTGAGGGTGGCACAGGCTCCCATAACCCCTGATTAGGGGAGACTGTACCCACCCCCGTACCAGGGCAGCAGTGAATCTCACTGCAGATCTGAAATCGCTTCCCTCATCAGGCACCTAACGGGGGCGGAGTGCCCTCGTTGTTCCTCCTCTGTTAACAACGTAAAGAGCCCCCAAAAGGCCAGGGGAGCTCTAGCACCCAGGAGGTCCCCCCAGCCGAGGTTTGGGGGCGGGGAGTTGAGCTCTCCAGGGAATGGGGATTTACCTTCGGTGACCAGGTTGGGGTCGCTCGAGTGCTTGCAGGTGATGATCTTCTCCACCAGCTGGTTGTAGCTCAGCTTGCCCACGGCCTGGGCCGCATCCGGACTCTGGAGCAGAAAGGGGGTGGAGGGGGAGAGGAGACGGCCCAAGGAGCCCGGGGAGGGCTCCAGAGAGGGCTTTTTAAGCAGAAGGGAAAGCACAGGCCTGACCGGTCACTACCCTGCGGCCCCTTTGCGCCCGTGAGGATGGTGCACAGGGAGTTTAATGCCCAGGCAACCTGCCCCTCCGCCCCACAAGGGGACGCTCCCCTCAAGCAGAGCCAGCCCTGCCCCCAGTCCAGGGATTCTGGCGCCGTCCTGTGCTCTGGCTATCCATTGCCTTGCAAAGCCCCATGGGGGGCCAAAGAACCAGAGGTGCCAGTCAGGGCCATATGGGTGCCCGCTGCCCCTGCACTGGGGCGGTGCAGGGCTGCCTGCCCTCTGTGCCACTGCCAGCAATGGGGCAAACCTGCCCTGGTGTCTCCATTGGTCTTTTAGCTGCACCTTTGGTTTTAAGTTGTAAATGAAAGAGTCAGGAGACTGGGGCCCCTGATTATTCCCAGCTCTGGGACAGCCGGGCCACCACGCTGCTCCCCTGCCCCCACCTCTCCTGGAAGAAGGCACCCCATCCTTCTGTATGGGGAGAGCTCAGCCACAGTAGCCCGCTCCATCCTTGGCTCTCTGCTGGGCAGCCAACGAGGGCAGCTATTACGTTGGTGGCCTTTTTGGGGTGCAATTCAGACACATCTACTTTGAAAATGGGACCAGAGCCCTGCTCAGGTCACTCAAACAGCCCTGGGGGGCAGAGTGCTTGGTCACTACCAGCCCGGCTGGATTCGAACTGGCAGCCGACGGGGAAAGAAAGCCTTGCTCTGTTGAAGCCCACAGGAATTTTGCCATCGGCTTCAGCGAGGCCAGGATTTCACCTGCAAAACCCCCGACCCACCCACTCACCCTTGTGTCTCAACATTGGCCCAAACCCTGGCTCTTGGTCCCAGAGATGTTTCTGCTCTTCTCCCACTATCTGGGGGCTGGGCTCGACTTCCTTCTGCAGTCGGGGCCGAAGCTGCCGTCAGCTTGGCCTGACCACACAACATCGCAGAGACAGAATGCACCATCTCCTGCCCAGTTAGGCTGGCACCTCCCATGGACCGTCCCCTCCGTTCTTGGAGCTGACGTGGACGCGTGTCACCCCGCTGGGTGGAGTGACGGCCCTTGAACGTGCTCCAAACTCTTCATTTTTCCCCCAGACGTTCCCAGCTACCAGCAGCCATAAGAAGCTGAATTAAGAAGCTCTGGACAGGACTTCAGCTTTGTCAATTCCTAAAAACCCCTCTGAGTTTACACCTGCCTTTGTCCTTGCTCATATAATAACCATAATGCCATCCAGCTCTTTCCGACTGCTCTTTCATCAGCAGATCTCTCAGCACTTTGCAATGGGAAAACTGAGTCAAGGGGCGGGGACATGACTTGTCCAAGGTCACCCAGCAGGGCAGTGGTAGAGCTGGAGATGCAACTCAGTGCTACAAGGACCAGTCGAGTGCTCTATCCACTAGATCACACTGTCTCCCCCTTCCCTGCTCCACCCCCTCCACACACTGGCTCTGGCTTGTATCCATTCAACGCACAGGGTGGACTTTACAACAATGGCACTCACCTGGGGGTCCACCAGCCAGCCGTGGTACAGCGGGACGTTCAGGAGGTCAAAGACGATGCACTCCGGGGTGTACTCGAAGTCGGAGACGCCCGTGAACCTCACGTTCACGTCAAGCCCCGTGGACAGTTTGGGCAAGACCATCATGGCATCGTTGACGTTCTGGAGTTGGGAAAGAGAGAGGAGAGCACCTTGTGTAGATAGGAGACAGAGGAGCGGTGGCAAGGGAGGGGCTGGGATTCCTGCTTTCCTCCTATCCCTGCCTTGTTGGTCTCTTACACCCTGTTGTCACATCGTTCATAAGCACTCCAGAGTGGGAACCGTCCCTCTGTGACTTGTTCGTGCAGCACCCAGCACAACGGGGCCCTGATCCTCGGCAAGTGTTCCTAGCGGTAACGACTGGGAGTCGGGACTCTTGGGTTCTCTTTCTGGCCCTGGCCACTCACTTCACCAATCTGTGTCCTCCCAGCGCAGGGACCGTCTCTTGTGAGGCCAGCACAGCGTCCAGTACAATGGGGTCCCAATCCTGAATCGGGCACTACTATAACTTAAATACTTCCTAGCCCGGCAGCTATGAGACTCAGTCAGGACTTGTCCATGCAGAGACATTAACCAGAGGAGCCATTCCAGAATCGCTCCCCGTGTGGGCACTCCACTCCAGAACACGAGTCACTCTGCCCTAGAACAATCATCACACTTCCAAAGCGGAGTAATTATTCTGGAATGTCACTTTTATTCTGGAACTGAGCATCCACAAGGAGAGCTCCTCCAGGAGAGCTTCTACAGCACTAGTTGGGTCAGTCAATTTCCTGGTGTAGACAAGCCATTAGTGCTTGCAAAATGCTTTGAGCAGAGGAAAGGCCAGCCTGGATCAGACCTGAGCCCACCTACAGCCCAGTATCCCAACTCCCACAACGGCCAGCTCCAGATGCCTTCGAGGAAGGTGCACAAACCCCACAGGAGGCAGACGTGGGATGACCAGTCTCTCCGAACAGCTCCTCCTAGCCCCTTCAGAGATGGATTTCAACCCTGAAGTTCTATCTCCCTTCCAGTGCTCATTTAGTCAGCACTAACTATTCTAGTTTTGGCTATACTTGTTCTCCATATGGACACCCAACTCCTCTTTGAGACGTGCTATATTTTTGGCCTTAGTGGCCTCCAGAAGCAAGGAGTTCCACAGGTTAATCACACGTCTCCTTTTATTAGCTTAGAATTTACCACCTTTTAATCTCCTCGACTGTCCTCTTGTTCTCATATAAACGAGAGAGAACAGAAGAGCCTGCTCGACATTCTCTGTCCCATTCATCACTGCATATGCTTTTACCGTGTCTCCTCTTATTTGCCTCTTCCGTAAAGGTAAAACAATCCCAATGTTTCCAATCTCGCTTCATTGGAGAGTCTTTTCAGGCCTCCAGTCATTCTTGCTGCCCCTCTAAACCCCAGGCTAGTTCTGCCCTATGCTTTTGGGGCTGGGGTAGCCAGAACAAGCTGCACAGCTGATCAAAATCCAGACAAGATGCTTGTGTGGGATGGAGGACACAGGTCTGAAAGGGGCCTTCTGGCTCGCTGAGTCCACAGTCCCTTCTAGCACAGACAACCCTGCCGCGGCAGCCCGTTCAGAAACTGATCAAGCTCCATCTTCAGACTAGTTAGGCCACTTTCCCCTCCTATTGGAGGCTGGTCCAGAACCTTCCTCCTCTGGTGGCTACAAACTTGCTTTTAATTTCCAGCCTCCGTTGACTCCTGGCCAGTTTAATCCCCATTTGTCCTTGGGCCAGCGCTCTCCTTTAGCTTCAATGGCTCCTCTCCCTAGTGGAAAGGGCCGTAGAAGCAGAAGGTATCCTTAGGGTAGACGCAGCTCTGAAATTGCACTCAATCAACTATTCTGCAACTTATCTAAGCAGGCATCTATCTGGCCTTCACCAGCAACAAATGTGAGTGTGGATTTTTTTTAATTCCTATAACCCAGATGGAAAGTGTTACCTAAATAACTTTTATTTATTTTATATCAGGGCTGGCCAAATTTACTGACCCTCCGAGCCGCATAGAACAATCTACAGAAGTTCGAGAGCCGGGGCATAACTGCCGGAGCTCGGGGCTGCTGCCCTGCGGGAGGCACTTACCGGAGCTCGGGGCTGAAGCCCCATTCCTGCTGAAGCCCCGAGCCCCGGCAGGCACACTCCATGGAGCGGAAGCCCCGAGATCATCCTCCCCACTGGGCAGAAGCCCCTACCCAACCACCCCGCTGCAAGACAGAGGTCCTGAGCTTGCCCCACAAGTCTGGTAGGTGGAGAATGGGGGGAGCACTGGGGGCTCTGTGAGCCACACACTAATTTCAAAAGAGTCCCATGTGGCTCGTGAACCATGGTTTGGTCACCCCTATTTTATATAGACACACAGATTGGGGTTTTTGTTTGTTTACATAGATGGAGAAACTGAGGCACCGGGTAGATTAAGTGGCTCGCACAAGGCCATCAACTGGGCCAATGGCAGAACAAGTCCCTGTCCAGTGCTCTAACTTCTAGACTACTCTTGATAGCTACACAGCTCCCAGATTTGCAGGTTCCTTTGCAACATGTGAGGCCTCTCCCCCTCACAGTGGGGCTGCAGTTCAGGATGACAGGATAGGCATTTTTAAACAGGGTTCATGTTGGAGCCCTGCCGCCCGGACCTCCCTCGATACTCTGCAGAAGGAGGGGGTGGATCCAGACGGTCTCACCTGCTGAAAGTTGAGCTGCAGCCCTTCCGAATTCTCTTGGGGTTTGATGGATAAGATGCAGTCGCCTTTGAGACAAGAAAACACCCAGTCCCGATTACTAATGGATGGTACTTACCTAGTCCCCCAATACTGTAATACCTGGGCACCATTCTCTAATGTTTTTATCCTCACAGCCCCCCCGTGAGCCAGAACAGGGCTATTATCCCCATTGTACAGATGGGGAAACGGAGGCACAGAGAGGCTAAGTGACTTGACCAAGGTTACACAGGGAGTCTGTGGCAGAGCCAGGAACTGGAGTATCCTTTTTGCCTCTAGGACCAGGGCAAGGGCTTGGCCTATCCCTGGGCGTGGGCTGGATCTAGATTATGGTCAAGATGGCAAGATGACGATTCCTGCACAGGCTCAATTTGATGGCTCTCTGTCTAGCCCTGCAGCATGGTCCTCATGGGATCAGGGGATGAAGACTGGGATGGAGGCGGGTGTGGGGGGGAACAGAACGGAGACACACTAAATGCAGCCTGTTTCCCATTTGTGTTTGGGGCAGGGAAGAAAGGCACCCACACAAGCAGGCAGGAGATAGCATTAAGGGTCCAGTCCTGCCTTCTTTTTTGTGTACCTATGTCATAACCATACAGATAAGAGTAGCATAAAATCCCTCCTTTACCTGTAATGAGTTAAGAAGCTCAAATAACCTGGTTGGCACCTGCCCAAAAGGACCAATAAGGGAAGAAGATCCTTTCAAATCTGTGGGGGGAGGTTTTGTTGTGCTCTGTTTTGTTGTGTGTTCTCTCGGGACAAAGAGAGGGACCAGGCAGGAAAAAAAAACCCTCTCCTAAAACCCTACCTGAAATAAGTATCTAGATTACAAAAATTATAAGTAAAGCAAGGAAATGCGTTAGATTATCTTTTGTTTTAGCTTGTGAATTTTCCCTATGCTAAGAGTGAGGTTTATTTCTGTTTTTTGTAACTTTGAAGTTTTGCCTAAAGGGGAATCCTCTGTGTTTTAAATCTTATTACCCTGCAAAATTACCTTCCATCCTGATTTTACAGAGGTGCTTCTTTTACTTTTTTCTTTATAATAAAGTTCCGTTTTTAAGAATCTGATTGGGTTTTAGTGTCCTAAACACCCAAGAGTCTGGTCTGTGCTCATCTTGTTTACCTATTTGGTTGGTATATTATTCTCAAGCCTCCCCAGGAAAGGGGGTGAAGAGGCTTGGGGGGATATTTTGGGGAAACAGGAACTCCAAGCGGTCCTTTCCCTGAATCTTTGTCTAACTCACTTGGTGGTGGCAGCAATCCCATCCAAGGACAAGGAAGAATTTGTGCCTTGGGGAAGTTTTTAACCTAAGATGGTAGAAATAAGCCTAGGGGGTCTTTCATATGAGTCCCCACATCTGTACCCCAGAGTTCAGAGTGAGGAGGGAACCCTGACATGGTGGCAGCGAATGGGATCGTTTTGAACCAGAAGCACAGACCTGATGATTTTAAAAGCAATTTTTCTTTTGGCTGATTGAAAACCAGGGAGGTTTTTTTTGTTGTTGTTTTTGTTTTTTAAGCTGAGAGCAGCTGGAGATTTTTTCTTTACCTGGAGGCAGAGGAGTTAAGTTACAGCAAGGGAATTTATAAGCTGATTCCCCCCCTCCCCTTTCTAGCTCTCGGGTTAGGGTAGGCTAAGCGCAGGAAGGCTAGGATGATGGAAAGTGAGGTCCAAAAGAAACTAGAATTAGCCAGATTCGAAGCTGAAGAGAGACAGAAAGAACATGAAAGACAGATGGCCTTAAAATGCTTGGAGTTGGAAGCAGAGGAGAGGAAACAGGCAAAACACTTGGAGACGGAAATGGAGACAAAATGCTTGGATACGGAGTTAGAGCTGAAGCGCTTAGATCTGGAAAGGGCTAAGCTGGGTCTACCAGATAACCCTAACAATCCTTCTCCAGGTGCCGCTCCCCATTCCAAAAAATTCCCTACCTACAAGGTAAGCGATGATACAGAGGCCTTCTTAGAAAATTCTGAAAGAGCCTGCCTTGGGTACAGCATCTCTACAGACCAGTATATGGTGAAGCTGAGGCCGCAGCTCAGTGGACCCTTAGCAGTGGTGGCAGCAATCCCATCCAAGGACAAGGAAGGATTTGTGCCTTGGAGAAGTTTTTAACCTAAGCTGGTAGAAATAAGCTTAGGGGGTCTTTCATGCGGGTCCCCACATCTGTACCCCAGAGTTCAGAGTGGGGAGGGAACTCTGACATGGTGAATTCCCAGAGAAGCTGATGGGAATTTTGAGCACCCCAGGAACACAGGATAGTTCCAGGAAGCCCAGTGCCCTCAGGTGCTCTCCTGAATTCACCACTTACCGAGATGCGCCATCAACTCGTCTGACGTGATCACTTCCTTCTGGGGGGAGAGTTTCACCTGCAGACAGACGGAAGGTGGGGAAGTTAGTGAAGGACCCTCTCTCCCAGCACTGCTTTGACCCTCAAGGCTTCCCCTTGAATCAGGGCACAGCGATAATCAATACCAACAACATCCTTACGCAGATTTGCCATGCCACATGAGATGGTCCAACTAACCCGGTAGCCCCGCTTCAGCCATATTGGGGTCAGACACTTGGTCCATCTAGTCTGGCTCCTGTCATACTGATTCAGACCATTAGCCCTCTTAACCCATTATCCCACCTTGGGAAACCCACATCACCACCAGCCAACACTGGATGTTTCAGAAGATGGCACTAAAACAACCACCTCACCATAAGGTGGACTTTTCATCCATCAATTGCTAAACACTTTCCCACACTGCATCAGTCTTATTACCCCTGTTTGACAGATGGGAAAACTGAGGCACATAGAGAGGCAGTGACTTGCCCAAGGTCATAGAGCAAATCAGCGGCAGGGTTGGGAATAGAACCAGGTCTCCTGAGTCTCAGGCCCTGATCTACTGGGCCATGCTACCTAACAACGCTGCACAGAGGTAGAAAAAATCCTTCCTGACCGCTGCGGTAGCCAGCAGGTGCCTTGAAGCATGAGACTTGACTACACTTATTTTTACCGTAACGGCAGACACATCCCAGGATACCAAAACCCACTGTGAGTCTTTCCACGCACTTCAGGGGGCTGGCTCTGACCCCGAGATGAGAAGAACCCTGACAACGGGAGTTCAGAGCGCAAATGCTTCAGTGACTACAGAACAGTTCTGCGGCAACAGCAGCTCGGCACGCGTTCCCCACGCATGCACTGAGAGGGACCATGTCCTCCCAGGGGTCGCTGGAGAGAGCACACAACAGCAGATAGCTAGCATCAGCCCTCAAGTCCCCCCCGGAGCAGGTTTCCCCAGTGTCCTGGATACTTATCTGGGCCCTGTTGTATCTGAGCACTTTATAGCCCAAGCGCCTGTGTGGGGCTGGGCTATTATCCCCATTTTACATCTGGGGAAACTGAGGCACGGAGATGCTAATGACTGGCCCAAGGTCTCTCAGAGTCTGTGGCAGAACAGGAACTTGAACCTAGGTCTCCCCAGTACTAGGTCAGTGCCCTAACCCTCAGGCCATCCAACCTCTCAGTACGAGTAGCCTCCTCTGTGCCACTAGATAACAGCCTCTCACATGAACTACATTAGATCTCTAGGTCCTTACCGCCCCCTCCTCGCACCCAGCACACCTGCTCTGAACAGCAGTACTGGGCCTCCCCTAGCTCCCACCTACCTTCCACTGCAGGAACAGGATGTTCATGATGGCCAGGAGTGGGCAGGGCCCGTTCTCACACTGGGTGATGATGGGTGTCCTCTCCCCTTTCCAGCTGATCCACTTCACGCAATAGAAGTCAGGCTCGGTCTCGCCGGCTGGGGGCCGGGCCTTGGTGGCATCAGACGCCTGCTCTGCGGAGCCTGGGCTAGGGCTGGCGATGGGGTCGTCCGGTGGGGAAGTGACCCCTCCCGCTCGGATGCTCCCGCTTGGGGGAGGCTGGTTCTCTTTGGGGTCTGCCCTTCCTTCTGGCTCCCCACGCTCCAGCCACTTGGTTTTGTCACTGGGCCCTGCTCTCGGGGACGGATCCTTCTTTGGGGTGTCCTCATGCTCCTGGCATGCGGCCTGTTGGCAGCTCAAGCTGCCCTGCCCAGAAGGAGCCTCCTCGCTGTGCGTTACCGCAATCCCCTTTGGGCTTTCTGGCTCCTGCCCATTCAGCATGCGGCCCTGCCCTGCTGCAGCCTGGGTTCCATCCTCCATGCCAGCAGCGTCCTCCTCTAGCCCCAGAGGGGCCTGGCAGATTTCAGGTCTGGTGACTTCTGCGTTTACATCGTCCCCTTTCGTGGCCATGGGATCCACCTGCTCAAGTCGGGGCTCCATCTGGCCCAGACAAAACCTCTTCCGCAGTGCCCCTCAATGTCCTTAGTACATTCACCGGGGCAGAGAGCGGATCACGCAGGCTGGTCCCTCTCTGGTAACCAGCTCCAGCTGCAATCCCGGTTCACTTTCCGCTGCAGTCTGACTCTGTCGCGTATTTCGCTCCCGTCCCTGACTCTACAAATTCTCACGGAAGCCAATTCCACTGAACACGACTGGAGGGGGGTAAGCAACAACCACACCTGCTTCTGGAAAAGAAAAAAAAAAAAAAAAAAAATCCCCACGTCTCAACCTAGCCTTTACAAACCCATCAAGTCCGTCCAGTAACAATCAAGGACTATGTTTCTTTCAAGGATATAAAAATAGTATGTTTTAAGCAAAACAAACTCTTATTCATTGATCAGGTTCAGAGCTCTTTCCTCTTCCTGTCTATTAATTTAGATTCCCCATTAAATTTGTTCAAATTAATAAAAAAAGTATATCTAAAAAGAATAAGATTATGATAAATAGCTCCTTTTAAAACGGTCTAATTCTTGTTCCAGAATCTATTTAGTGCTGCTTGGTCAGTCCAGGGTATTTAAAAAAAAATAAAAATCTTTGTTAGGCACTTTGAGGTTTCTATGAAAGTTGTTTTTCTAAAGGTCGCCCCCTCTCAAAAAACCTGATTCCAAACTGATGCCTGGCCTATCCCTTATCAATCAATTTCCTCAAGGCAAATTAATCCCAATCCCTCTTCCTTTCATGTTTTAAATTCAATTACTCAGCACTGATGAAATACAATATTCCACCTGCTCTGTGTGCGTATACTTTGGATAATTATAGCCCAAGATCACCTTTAAAAATAAAAAAAGGTGTCTGCAACTGGCTTCTCAATGCTTTTCAGGGTGTAGAAAAGTAACAATAATCTAGAAAGAAGGGGAGAGATTTTAACTCAAAACAAAACAAAGACAGAACAACTAGCTTGCAAAACAGGCCTGACGTAATTATAGAAAATGTATGTTCCCACCCCCCGCAATCTATAGAGCAAAGATTTTCCTACACAAAGTATTTTTAAGTCATGAAATAAAAAAAGCAAAGTCAGTGGGGTTGTTTGGCTAATTCTTGCCTTATCAGTGGTCTGGAATCTCCTGATTCCTCCCAATTCTTTACCTAAAGTCCTTTTCTCTCTAGCCTTGAGGTTATGTCAACAGAGCAGAGGGCTGGTGCTTTCTTATCTTGTTTTGACCTGATCTGTAGATCTTTCCACCTAGTGCGTTGACTTGCCTTTCCAGTTTTTCTCCCGTAGCTGTTTTTCTCCCGTAGCTGTTTAACTGGGTTGGGGCATTGGCAGCATTGTCAGATGGAGCTCCAGTAGGAAGACTCCTCCTTGTTCACTGAACAAACACACAGAGGAGAAGAGAAAGAGTGAACTAATAATTCCATTATGAGATTTCCAGTAATCGTTACAGGTCAGCTCATTGCAGCTGGACAGACACACACCTAATGGATATCAGCTTTGCTTGGCACACAGCAATACAGGCCAGGACTTTCCAGCAACCCGTGTTTTTTTAGGTGCCCAGCTTCAGATGCCTTAAGGGGACCTTGTTTATCTAGGTCCTTTAAAAAGTGTCTGAAGTTGGCTCCCCAGAAACAAGGCCAGCAACATCAGTCCCCTTTTGGAAATCTTGGCTGCATTTCCCGTTTCCGGGCCTTTTTTCCATGCTGATCCCTAGAGCACTGATTCCCTTCCCCATCCCAAACCAATTGCTTCAATTCATTCAAATCCCCCTGCTGTAGCAGGTACAAATTCATCACAGGCAGAGTGGCATAATGGAGAGTGCTCTGGCCTAGGAATTTGGAGAGCTGGGTTCTATTCTCAGCTCTGCCACTGGCCTGCTGGGTGACCTTGGGCAAGTCACTGCCCTGTTCTGTGCCTCAGCTTCCCCACCTGTAAAATGAGGATAATGAGACTGACCTCCTTTGAGATTTACTGATGAAAAATACTAGGGATTATTATTACATGCCTCCGCTGAGTATCCAAGAGATTTAATCACCTTAATCCTTATTCTTCCTCACACCCTCCCCATAACCCCCCCAAATTTATGGCTCTCACTTTTCATATCAAGTCTGAAAGCAAATGAACTATAAACCCTCCAAGGCAGGGTCAGTGGGTAGATTCTTACAGGGAGACCTTTCAGAATCCTACTCCGGCCCTTTTTGTTTGGTATGGAAGTTGCTTGGCTCACGTGAAGCACAGAAAGAAAGAAAGAAAACCTCTAGTAGCAACAAAAAATACACACCCAGCCAGAAAACAGCACTTAGGGCATGTCCACACACACCACTTGTACCATCTTATACCTGTATAAGTATAAAACAGTAACACCCCTCCAGCGTGGATACAGTTCCAGCCGTTCATCGATTCTAAGGCCAAAAGGGACCACTGTGATCACCTCCAGTCTGACCTCCTGCATAGCACAAGCCATAGGACATCCCTGAATTAATCCCTGTTTGAACCAGAGCAAATCTTTTAAAAGAACATCCAATCTGGATTTTAAAATGGCCAGTGATGGAGAAGCCAACATAGAGAAGAGGTATAAGCTATCCCAGTGTAATGTTTATACTTGTATAACTGCGTTCACACTGGGGGGCTGGACTGGTATAACTATATCAGTTAAAAAAAAAGATCCCCCCCAATATAGTTAAGGCTATGTCTACACTAGAGAGCTTTAGAGAGCTTACGACACAGCCGTAAACTCACTCATGTTGATGGGAGGGAGCTCATGCTACCACTTATGCCGGCGTAACTTATGTCGCTCAGGTGGGCGGCTTAAGTTTTGCTGACATAAGCGGTCACGCAGACATAGCCGCAATCAGTCCAAAAACCTGTGTGTAGACCAGGCCTTCTAGTTAAAGGAAAGATGCCAATCAAATGCATGCAGCCAACACCCTCCCTTGCTTTAAACCCCTCCTTAAGGCGCACTTCCAGAAACCAATCATAATGCAAAGTTAACGATATGCTAAGTAGGTGGCCTGTTAGCACCTCATTAACATCTTGATCATTTATCATTTAGGCACACAAACCAGCTGTATGGTTCCTTAGCTAAGTCCTGGTCTACACTCCAGAGAGAGATCTTAAGGCAGCTTACATCAACCTAACCCTGTAAGCCTACACCCTAAAATGCAGCTCCCACTGGTGTAACTTGCCCACAACACCAACTTAATAACTCCACCTCCGCGAGAGGCGGAGCGCTTAGGTCAAGGTAGTTAGGTTGATGCGGTATCAGTGTAGACACTGCATTGCTTACATCGCCTGTTGCTACTTTTCAGAAGCCGTGCCACAATGCCCCGTGCTGACAGTTAAATCGCTGCAAGCGCTCCTGGTGAGGACACAAGGAGCGTACCACGCACGTGCAAAAGCAGTTTAATTACTCTGGTGGCTGTACATCGACATAACTCAGCTCGCCTTCATTTCGTAGTGTAAACTTGCCCTAATAGAGTCTGCCATGCGTGCCACCCATCTTCCCCACACCCTTCTGTCTGCTCTGCGCCCTGCCGGCACTTCTCCACATTTAAACCCTGATCCTGCAGAGACTTAACAAACATGCTTAACTTTATATACTGCAAGCCCCACCGAAGTGGGTGTATTTTACCACTGGCTTCAGCAGGACCACGCCATACTTGGAGGTCATGGGCTCAGTGCAGGAATCAGTGGGCGAAATTCTATGGCCTGTGTTATACAGGAGGTCAGACTAGATTACCATAATAGTCCCTCCTACCCTTAAAAATCTAGGACTCTGAACTGTAATATCTGTAGGGCAAGGACTGTCTTATATTTGTATAGAGCCCAGCACCCTAATAATAATCATAGCTCTCAGCTGGCTCTTTTCATCAGTAGATTGCAAAGCACTTTACAGAAGAGGTCAGATAGGGAAACAAAGGCACAGAGAGGGGAAGCCACTTGCCCAAAGCCACCCAGCAGGCCAGGGGCTGAGTCAGGAGCAGAATCCAGGTCTCTTGAGTCCCAATCCAGTGCACTACCCATTAGCCCACACTACTGGGACCCTGCTCTTGATTTGGCCCTCTGGGTGCTGTTGAAATAAAAAACAAACAAACATAACAATAATTATTGAGTGAAACAAAGATGTCTTATACCGGTAGGGTTTTATTTGCCTTCCCACACAGGAACAGCTATCCCAGGATACTGCACCTCTCTACCAATATAACCATGTCCACACTAAGGTTATGTCTACACGACACACTTCTGGCGGTCAGCGATGCGAAGAGCTGCGATTCCTGACTGAAACAGCTGTACCAACAAAAGGCCCTAGGGCGGACACAGTTGTGCAAGCAACACTGCGCTTTTCCTGGTCTCGCTTGTTTTGCTCCGGGCAGAGGCTGGAATAAGCTGTACCAGCAAAAGTGCAGTTTTGCCAGTATACACAGGCCCAGTCTACACTACAAACTTACGTCAGCATAACTACATCACTCAGGGGTGTGAAAAATCCCCCCCGCCCCGAGTGATGCAGTTATACCGAGCTAGCCCTGGGTGCAGACAGCGCTGTCGGCGGGACGGCTTCTCCCGTTAACACAGCTCCCGCCTCTTGCGGAAATGGATGAACGACGCCGACGGGAGAAGCGCTCCCAATGACGTAGCAGCGTCTCCACTGATGCGCTACAGAGGCTTTGGTGCAGCTGCAGCTTTTTAAGTGTAGACCTGCCCGCGGCATCCGCTGCAGGAGTGCTTTGTTGGTACAGTATACCAGTATAAGAACGGCCATACTGGGTCAGACCAAAGGTCCATCGAGCCCACTATCCCGTCTTCCGACAGTGGCCAGTGCCAGGTGCCCCAGAGGGAATGAACAGAACAGGGGATCATCAAGTGACCCACCCCCTGTGGCCCATTCCCAGCTTCTGGCAAACAGAGGGTAGGGTCACCGTCCCTGCCCACCCTGGCTAATAACCATTGATGGACCTATCCTCCATTAATTTATCTAGTTCTTTCTTTAATCCTGTTATAGTCTTGGCCTTCACAACATCCTCTGGCAAGGAGTTCCACAGGTTGACGGTGCGTTGTGTGAAGAGTTTGGCTACACCGGCTGAGCACCGTAGACATGGGCTTGGAGTGGGAGGTTTACTGCTTTATAGTGAAAAAAGAAAAAGGAGTACTTGTGGCATCTTAGAGACTTACAAATTTATTTGAGCATAAGCTTTCATGAGCTACAGCTCACTTCATCGGATGCATTCAGTGGAAAACCAGGCCAATGGGGGCTGCGGGAAGCAGTGCGGGCCAAGGGACATGTTGGCCGCCCTTCCCGCAGCCCCCATTGGCCTGGAGCAGTGAACCGCGGCCAATGGGAGCCACGATCGACCGAACCTGCGGACGCGGCAGGTGAACAAGCGGCGGATCGGCTTTGAGAACCACTGTTCTATGCTCTTCCCACCTCCTGATGACATGAGCAGCACTAAAGCCTCGGCAGTCAGCTGTTGACGGCTCCATCAGAGGGGGATGAAGAACTACAACCAAGGCTCAGAGCTGCAACAGGCCTGAAAACTTGCCTCAGTCGGTCAGGTCTACTGATCTGATTCACACGAGCAGAACGGAAAAAGCGACCGTGTAAAATTTGCCCTTTTCCAGCTACAGCCACAGCTTTAAAAAAAGAAAAAAAAAAAAAAGAGGAAAGTCAAGTCATTTCAGCCCTGATCCAGGAAAGCACTTAATCACATACTAAACTATCAGCACATCGGTAGTACCACGGAAGTCAATTGGAACTGTTCCTGTGCTTAAAAGTTAAGCACATGCTTAAGTGCTTTGCTGGATCAGGACCAGAGAAATTTAAAAGCACCCTTAAAAGCAGCCAGGATACATTAAAGCTTCCTCTATTTGCATGCTGAGTACATAGGGGATTCCAGGGAGAAAGGAGAGTGGTGAAGAGTTGCCAGCTACAGTGCTTTGGAAGCCAGAGTACCCTGCATTGGTAGAAAATGATACGGACGCAGCTGTGAATTCTGTCTTGCCATGGTAATTCACTGCCAGCTCCCTTAATGCCAAATCACGAGCGGTAATGGAGTCTGTTGTGACAGATTACAGAGAGACAGGATCCAGGCGCCCACCATTCACGACAGAAGCATCCAGCTTCCACCTTATTCTCTGCAGTCTAATGTCTGAAAACAAGCTTTCAAAGCCATCTGCAATTTAGGCACCATCTGACCCCTCCTCCGCAACCTCTCTGCCGAGACTAAGGATTGAATGGGTCACGTACATGAGCTTCCCCTTTGGGGGACCCCTCCCCAGACCAAGGTTGAGGCACATTGGCAGTGGGAGAATTGGTGGGGGTTACCTGCCTTGCCAGTGATAGAGGGGACTTGAGATCGGAGACTGTCAAGCCAGCCCTGTTGCCAGCTGGAAATGCTCTTGCTTTAAGAGTATATATCTGATGTTTCTTCCCAAGGAAAATACGATCAGAACATTTGCAGTCATGGTCCTGTCACCAGTCTTGCCTGCCCCAGGTATTAAAATAAATAAAAGTCACTAGTCAGGATCCTAAAGAAATCACGGATTTGTTTTGGGTTTGTTTTTGTTTTTTAATATAGATGTGGGGTTCTTTCTATTCACTTCTCGGCCTCTGAGAGCACTGGCCATTATTTGTCTCCTTGTGCTCCCCTGTCTGAAGTATCCATCTATTCTCTCTTTTCTTATAGTTTTCGCAGACTAGAAGCTCTTTGGAATGGAAGTCCTCTTTTTGTTCTGTTTGTACAGCACCCTAGCACAGTGCGGTCCTACTTTATGACTATAATACAAGTAATAACTGAGCCTTCAGGTTTCACGTTTTCAATCTTTTCTCCACCACCACCGGGGCTAGACACTTTAAAAAAAGGAAAGTTGCAATTCTCCCACACCACATGACACCAGGAGCTGGGGCTTTAAGAAACACATCAAATATCACAAGACTTGCAACAACAAAACAAAAAATTACAAGAGATGGCAATGTTGTGCTCCAGAATCTCACATTCCTTCCCTGGGCCACTCCCCGGAGCTGTCAAAACAGCCATTGCATCACAGCCGACAAAGACAACTTATCAGAAGTGAAACCCTGAGAAAACACTTTTCACCCAAATTCCTCCTCAGCCATAGTCCACTAGATTGTGTCACTTGCTTATTTCCGTGCTCAGTCTTAAATGGCTAGCAGACATAGAGTCTAGTGGGGAGAGCAGGACTCCTGGGTTCTATCCCCATCTCTGTCACTGACTTGCTGTAGCCCACTGGGTAAACCAATCCCAGCTTTATGCCTCAGTTTCCCCACCTGTAAAATGAGGATAACAGCACATACCATACCAAAACACATGCGGGGGTGGGAGGGGAGAGGGGGAAGAGAGGAGGGCTTTTAAATGCAAACCTTATTCAGTTAAAAGTTTTGTGACAGGTAAGAACGGTCGTTTACTTTGTACAGGCAGCAAGCAATTTGCTCTGCAAGCCCTCGGATGAGAACACAGATTAGAATCAGAGCTGGTGAAATCATGGGGCTAGATGGGACTATGGCACTGCATTGAAATCAGAGTTGCACCCACTTACTCTGGCGGTGAATTTGGCCCTAGGATAGAAAGGGTTAAGTCGGCGAGGCCTGGGTGGAAAGGGGAAGGGGTCTCCGTTGCCACATGAGAAGCTGGCTTCAAATATCTAGGCCTCAGGACCTAGATGCCACGGGGATGGGTGCTCTATAAATAGCTACAAAAAGGGAGGGCTGACCTTTTTACTGGTGTCCTGTAGGATCATCTGAGGGGACAGAGTCATGGGGACCGCAAAACAACGAAGAGAGCTCACGTGCCATTCTCCGTGAGAGATGGGTTTAAGAGAGCAGCTTTTAAACAGGCAAACTAGGGTGATCCATGGCACCCATCCCCTTCCCAGAACACGAGCCGCTTCTGACTGCAAATTACGGGTTTACGAGCTTAGCCTAGAGCGACCCAGTTTCTTAACTGGGGTCCTGTTGTCTGGGCTCTCAGCAGCCACCACGGCTTGCGTGGCTCTCCCGGGCACACTCAGCATGGACTCTCTGAGCCTCTCCCTCCTCCGGGATCCCACGCTCCAGCGCAGCAAAATAAAAGGAGCATCTGCGAAGGAGATGGCAGGCCTTAAGCCGGAACCAGAGAGCAGCCAGGGTCCCAGCAAACTTTCCACACTGGATTCATTGCTTAGTGAATTCAGGCAGCCGCTGCCAGGAGGTTGGATGCCACCCAGGCAAAGTTTCCCCCCTGCTTTGGATAACTTCTCCAAGCCAAGTCACAAGCCTCTGGCTCCACCCCTCCTTGTGTCTTACCACATAACAATCTTTTCTCAAGCTTTGCAACACACACACATGCAAAGAGACGCTCCCAAGCTTGTCCATTAATTGTAGGAACACCGCACCCTAGGTGGCTGGGCATTTGTTCCATAATCGTCCTGAGTTCCCTTTGCAAACAAGCCGCCGGCAAACCCCAGAGACGGGTTCTGAGCAGCAAAGCATTGAGGCTGGGTCTGCACTGCTTCAGAAGCGGGGAGCATGCTGCTCTTGGAGCAAGGGGCAAAATGGGTTTGCCCATATGGGTGCCCCCTGCCGACATTAAAAGCAAAGCTTTTACACCATGCAAACAGACACTGCTTGCTCTGGGGATGAGGGAAGTGGCTTGCAGCAAGCAGGTTTAGCACTTACAGGAGAGATTATTAGCTCTTAAGAACAACCCCAGTCCCCCCCCCCCCCAATATTTTATTACAGTGCACCAGCCAAACTGAGTCAGCCACCCCTGCCCCAAAGACAGCCAGCAAATGAGTTGTCGCCTTGCGGCTCCAAACAACCCCCCTAAATTACAGCTGTGACAGTGATCACAACCCACTGATTAGCCCCCTCCCGCACACATACACCCTCTGCAAACTCCCTTCCTCAGCAGCCATATTTCTTTCACAGCTGGCATCTGTCCCACTCCCCACCACGCAAGCCGCGGTGCCTCCAGATTTTTACCTGGCATGGGGGTGCATGTAAAAGTTTCTTTGCAGACTTCACTCTGACGCTGCTTCAGGGCAAGGAACGACTTTTCCTCACCCTCGTCCTGTTGTCAGCACTGCGCTGCTCTCCCGTCCCCTCCCCTCTTAGTGCTCATGTAAATGCAACTAATCCAGATTCTACTATGACTGTGCTAAATCCCTGTATCTTTCCTCCCCCGGACATATAGATGCATGCAAGCTCTCCTGCCTGCATGGGGTGCCCCAAACATCCCTGGAACTCTCTGAGACTACTTTGCTGCCTTCTCTAGGAAGTTTTTTATTTTTTATTTTTTTCTCCCCCCTGGGTGCATTGATCAAAGACAGGACTCCAGGCTGCTGGGGAAAGAAAAGCCTCGTGGGTTTCTTGGCCTAGCTTTTGTGTTTGCAGAAGAGACATCTGCTGGGTTGGAGGATTTACAGCAGCCAAGGGGGAAGGAAAAGAGATTGTTTCCCCCCTTCCCTCCCAGTTGAAGCAATGCACAAGAGCTGGCTGGAGAAAGAAAGGCAGGGCAAACAGTAGCAACGAAATTAGCCTTACTTGGTATGTGCAGGAGCTGTCTCATAGGATAAGAGTCCAGGGCCAAAGCAAAGCAGAATTAGCAAATCAACCTACTGGGGATTACACTGAAATATCATCATGCTCATTTAAGGCCTGCAGGATCTGACCTAGTGGGTCACGTGGCTGGTCCATCAAGTTTCTTATCCAACAGCAGCCGGTGCCCAGTTCCCGTGATTTTATTGTGAGTCTGGCAATATTTGGTGTGTGTTTCTTAAAGCTCCAGCTGCTGGAGGCATGTGATTAGGTGTGGCTCTCAGGTGGGGTATGTGTGTTTTAAGTAGGTTTCTAGCTTTCGTGGTTACGGAGAAGAGCTGGAAAATGTGATTGAGACAACAGATGGCAAATAAAAAGAACCTCGCTTTAAAAAATAAAAATAAACAAAAAAGCGCATGTGATTCTTAAGCCAACCTTGTCAGATCTGGGGGGCCTGACTCATCTTTAGGGGAAACGCCTCCATAAAGCAGGTAAACAGTTGTGGGATACTCTTTAAATTTAGGACAGCAGCTGAGGGGGTTGTAACAGAAATGATCAGATAATAATTCAGAGAGTACAATCTGCCTAGCCCTGCAATGACATTAATTAGGAGGGTGCGCACTTTGTAGCTTGCCTAGGCTGAGCTCAATGCACACCCCAGGGGCTTCTTGCATCCCTCCATTCCCCCCACCCCACAGCTCCCTGGGTACCACACTTCCATATCGCTCTCTTCTAGAGACTCCCTACAATCCCCCCATGCCAGGGGCTGTGTACCCACCATTCCTCCAATATCCCCCATTCCCCCATGCTAGGCACTGCATGCCCCTCATTTCACCAATGCCCATTTCTCTCTTCCCCCCCATACTGGAGGCTGTGTGCTACCCCATTCACCTCTCCCTCCATTCTCCCCCTATGTTTCCCATTCCTCTCTGCCCCCATACCAGCAGCTGTGCCCCCCACTCTCTTGTCCTCACCCCAGGCCAGGGTCTCTGTGAGTCACCCCTACAAACTCCCAGATGAAATAACAAACCCCTGTTGCCTATCTTCATTATAAGGAGTACATCACAGCTCATGGGGTTTTTATACCAGATGCCTCCCTCCAGCAGAGCCAATTCTACCCTTGCCCTGGACAAATATCACCAGAAGACCTTTAAAAACCATCCTGATTGGCATAATGGATGGCACAGAAGCATGCAGAGCCATTCATGTTTAGGTCACCGGTTCCAACCTAGCCCAGGTTATTAAGTGGCCAAAAAAATATCAGCCTGTCTGAAATGAGCTGGCAGGGACAGGCGCATGCAACACAAAACCCACCGTCACTCTTGTAGCATTCCCCCCACGAGATTCGTGATATTTCCAGCTGGGAATCATGAGATTGCAAGAGACTCTTCAGCTTTTCTTAGAAAGGAAACAAGAAAAAAAGTAACTTTCTTGTCCTTATGGTTGAAGAGAACTGCTTAAAAACATGAAGCAATTGAACCAGAAAGCAAAGAAGACCACCCCCCCCAAAACGTTGCAGTGCTATAAAAATGTTCATAATTTTAAGCCAATAATGATTTAAAAACAAATATGATTTTTTACCCTTTAGACGTACCCTTTTCTCTTTAATCTGTTCTGTGCTTCTTTATCGGGAAGTGAAACCGGTTCACAGACAACATTGTCGGCCTAATTGCAATTTGCTGCAGGTTATTTTTGCCCTGTGATGATTAGTTTTTTTAATTAAAGTATTTATTGTAAAGGGAGTGTGTGACAGACATGCAACTCACACACTGGCCTCTCTATTTCTGAACTGCAGCTGTCAAAGAAATGCCATCTCCCACAAGCTGGCTGCTGCACTGGATTTGGGTCTCATATTTGAAGCTTAGCTAAAGGCAAGAGGAGTAATTCAGAAGACACAATAAGAAGCAGGGCTGCTGCAACAATGTAGGAAAAAGAACCAGTCCAGAAATGAGCCCTTCTTAAAGGAGAGCCAGTGGGTTATGTAAATAACACAAGTTGGAAGTTAGGTAGCAGGGAATATTGTTTTCTGGCAGTGGTTTTCTGAGGTTTTGGATCAAAAAAATGTAGCGAACAACAAATCAGGATTCAAGGCAACAACCGTTACAGGGTGTGCAAAGCTGGAGGGGGGATGGAGAATCGTGTGACTGTGAAAAGCCAGACCCCCGCCCCATCAGTACTTCCACAGAGCTCCCTCTGTCCTTGTCACTTGGCCTGAATGATCTGCCTCACTTCTGTCAAACTGGATCAACACACAACCCCTTCCCTTTCCTACACACAGCCCCCATATACTCCAGCAACTACTCACTCACACCCCTTTCCCACAAATCCCACAACTACACACACTCACAGCTGCTGCCCAGGTGTATTTCCATATAACCCCTCACTTGCAAAGTACTTTCCCCCGACACGGTCACCTACCCATCCCCACAGCACTTGAACACCCCTCATAAGAATGGCCTTACTGGGTCAGACCAAGGGTCCATCTAGCCCAGTATCCCGTCTTCCGACAGTGGCCAGTGCCAGGTGCCTCAGAGGGAATGAACAGAACAGGAAATCATCAAGTGACCCAGCCCCTGTCGCCCATTCCCAGCTTCTGGCAAACAGAGGGTAGGGACACCATCCCTGCCCACCCTGGCTAATAGCCATTGGTGGACCTGTCCTCCATGAACTTATCTAGTTCTTTTTTGAACCCTGTTATGGTCTTGGGCTTCACAACATCCTCTGGCAAAGAGTTCCACAGGTTGACTGTGTGTTGTGTAAAGAAATACTTCCTTTTGTTTGTTTTAAACCTGCTGCCTATTAATTTCATTGGGTGACCCCTCGTTCTTGTGTTATGAGAAGTAGTAAACAACACTTCCTTATCTACTTTCTCTACACCGGTCATGATTTTATAGTCCTCTATCATAGCTCCCCTTAGCCATCTCTTTTCCAAGCTGAAAAGTCCCAGTCTTATTAATCTCTCCTCACACGGAAGCCGTTCCATCCCCCTCATCATTTTTGTTGCCCCTTTTCTGAACCTTTCCAATTCCAATGTATCTTTTTTGAGATGGGGCGACCACATCTACACGCAGTATTCCAGATGTGAGCATACCAGAGATTTATATAGAGGCAACATGATATTTTCTGTCCTATTATCTATCCCTTTCTTAATGATTCCCAGCATTCTGGTCACTTTTTTGGCTGCCGCTGCACACTGAGCAGATATTTTCAGAGATCGATCCACAAGGACCCCAAGAGCTCTTTCTGGAGTGGTAATAGCGAATTTAGACCCCATCATTGTATATGTCGAGTTGGGATTAAGCTTTCCAAACCCCTCGGCACACAACCACCGCCTCACACGGCTCCCTGCAAACATGCTTATTCCTACATACAAACACAAAACTACACACACTCCCCATCACAACCCCTAGACTACCATCCCTCTACTCATTACACACAAATACTCCCCATCACAATCCCTTACACTCACACCAAATTACACACTAACTACACACACGGTCTCCCGACTCAATTCCCTGCGTTCAGAACCCTCCTACACACACTCCACCATCAGAACCCATACACACTCACTCCCAACTACACATACACATCACAACCCCCTAAACTCACAACCCTCATATGCACAAACTCACAACTACAGACCCTATCCTGCACACACAACCCTCCCACACATACACCATCGCAACCCTTACAAGCACACTCCTGATCAGAACCCCATGCACACTCATTTACAACTACACACACACTCTCCATTACAAACCCCACAATCACAGAAAACTCCCAACATTCACAACCATACACACTGCCCAACCACACTCCCTCCTACACACTCCACCATCACAACCCTTATACACTCACTATACACATACACTCCCCCATCACAATCCGCTACAATCACACCAACCCCATACACACTCACCACACAAACATACTCTCCCATTGGAACCCCTATGCACTACTCACAGCTACACACACACATCATAATCTCTGACATGCACAATCTTCCAACACATTTACAACCACATTCCCTCCCCATCACAACCCCCTACACTCAAACCAGATTCCTATACACTCTCCACCCCCCCCACACAACCTCCCACACTCCCTTCTAAATTCATAACCCTCCTATATATTCACAAGTTACCACACTCACTCCTGATTACACACACACTCATAATTACTGTACAAACACATCCATCACAACCCCGCATAGTTTCTCCCATTAGACCCTCTCCTACACACAAAACCCTCCGACACACACAAACTCCCCCATCACAGCCCCCCGCAGTCATACCTTTCCCTACACAAACCCCACAGTCACACCCTCTGCTACAAACACAGACAACCCCACAGTCACACTCTCCCCTACACGCATAACCCCCGCAGTCACCCCTCCACTACACACACACCACCCCGCAGTCACACCTTCCCGTACACACCCACACACAACCTCAGCAGTCACACCCTTTCCTACACACCCACATACAACCCCACAGTCACACCCTCCCCTACACACACACTACCCTGCAGTCACACCCACACCAACACACACACTACCCCGCAGTCACACCCTCCCCTACACACGCACTACCCTGCAGTCACACCCACACCAACACATACAACCCCGCAGTCACACCCTCCCCTACACACACACAACCCCGCAGTCACACCCACATGGATACACACAACCCCGCAGTCACACCCTCCCCTACACACGCACTACCCCGCAGTCACAACCACACCGACACACACAACCCCGCAGTCACACCCTCCCCTACACACACACAACCCCACAGTCACACCCACACCGACACACACAACCCCGCAGTCACACCCTCCCCTACACACACACAACCCCGCAGTCACACCCACATGGACACACACAACCCCGCAGTCAGACCCTCCCCTACACAC